TTTACTGTCTCCAGAATGCATTCTGGTTTTAAGTTTTCAGCATAAAGTCATTCCCAGGGAATGAAATATTGGATTAAGTTCCATGTCCTTGCAAAAATCACTAATTTCAGTTTCTTTCTGTAAGTCCACAGACCATCACAGTTGCATTTTGTTATCATACTTACTAATTATTAACTATTAATACTAGCCTATATCAAACTTCCAGATTTTCTCAAACGAGTCAATCTCTGAACCATTTCCTTATAATGAACTTGACGTAGGTATGTTTCTGAGTCGTTTGGTTACATTAGAATTTTCACTGAAAGCACAAATAAATGTAATTACCTGGGTGGTAGTGTTGGTATCTGGGCTCTCAACTGCAGTAGAAAATATCACAAATTACAATTTTCATAAACTTTTTCTGTAAGTGGTCAGCGACATCTCAATATACTGAAGGACATAAAGTTTTCTCGGAGAGCCTTCTATTATCAAAAGTGTATTTCTTTTTAGCATGTAATTTCTGGTACAGTCAATGGAAATACTTTTACAACTTACTGTTAAATGTTTTGATGTAATTTTTTTCACTTAGTGTTTATCTGAACTTCACAGCATTATCATTTAAAATCAATTCCTGTTGAAATTTCAGGCTTTTGTTTAGTGTATTAATCCGATTTTACTTATACCAGCACTCAAACATACATACACAGGTACTGGTAATGGCTTTTAGTACCATTTATTCATAATGGCTTTTAAAGTAGTATTCCTTGCCATCGTCACATTTTGCCTGTTCAATTGAGAAATACTTTTGGCTTCCACAAAAAGCACAATCTCTCCTCTCTTTTCTTTTTCTTTTTCTTTTCTTTTTTTTATTTTGGTATCATTAATCTACAATTACAGAAAGAACATTATGTTTACTAGGTTCCCCCCTTCACCAAGTTCTCCTCTCTTTTTAAAATACTTGGCTGTCTTGGTTTATTTTCCTTCTTTTTATAGAGAGATGAGACCAAAGAAATAGCTCTGTACTATAATAGAAATACAAGTATAAGTGCAATAACAAATGGTGATTGATACTTGGTCCCAGGATAAAGCAAGAAAAATGAACGGTAGGTCCCACGGTGAGCAAAAGCTCTGCATTCAGGACAGAAAGCCCCTCACCCTGCTGCAGAGTCACTATTTACTTGGCTGCCTAAGTGGGTTATATATTTTCTATAACCTTATGCAAATCAACACCCTAAAAACCAAATAAGGTGTTTATTTGTTTAGCCTCTTGTCCAAATTACCAAGGAAAAAGAATTTTCCCAAATGTCTTACCATGTGCAGGGCTGCCCACCTGCTTTGAATGGGATTAGTACTTGATGCCATTTTTGCAGCATTAACTCAGCATTTTTGCAGCATTTTGCAGTAAATTAACTCATTCGGCAAATCATCAAGAGAAGCTTCATTCTAGGAGTTGGTGATACTGTAGTGAATAAAACAGAAATATATTCCTGTCCTCAGACAGACTAAATTGTAATGGAGATGGAAAAAAAATAGAAGAGTAAAATGTGTAAGCATGTCAGAACAATGGAGAAAAATGGTGTATGAAAAAAGGAGTCAAAATATTTTACCTGAGCAACTTGAAGGATGTAGTTGCCATTTACTAAGAAGAGAGATTGTGGATGTTTTAATTTGTTCATTTGTAGCCAGTAGTGGGGAAGCTTAGTTTTACTACAGACTAGTCAAGTTTGAGATATCTTTTGGCTATTCAGATAGAGATGTTAAGAGGCAGGTGGATATCTAAGAATGAATTTTGGCATGAGATTTAGACTAGAGATATAAATTTGGTAGTTATCAGAATATAGATAATATTTAAACTCATGTGGCTATGTGTTAGCATTTAAGAAGTATGTACGTAAAGGTCTGAGGACTGAGTTTTGGGGAACTGCACTTTGGAGGTGGGGGTATGAAGAGGATCCAGGAAACAAGACAATGAAGGAATGACTCCTGAGGTAGGGAAATAACAGGAAATGGTGATGCCCTGGAAGTATAGCAAAGATGGCTGAAAAGGGAGGCAGTAAATCAACTGTGTCAAATGCTGCTTATAGGTCAAGTAGGGTGAAGACTGAGAATTGATCACTGGATTTAGCAATATAGAGGTTCTCACTGGTCCTGACAAGAGCAGTTCAGGTCTGTGGGAGAAGATAAATGAGGCTGTAGCTTTGGGAACCGAAGAGATAAAGAATTTTGTTTTTAAGATGGGAGAAATAAAGCCAGAATCCCTTAGCTGATGGTCAAGCCTTTGTATATCTACTTTGTGCATAGGACCATAATAGCCATATGAAACACCATTTTCATCCTGGGGTTGCAATCTTACTGAAGGAATGGAAGAAATGACAAAATAATGGGACCAAGTAATTAATGTTAGAGTAGTTTAAAAGAAGTTAGTTAATGTATTGGTTTCATAGAGAAAGTGAATTTAAATATCACTTTGAAAAATTAGTTGGATTTAGGTTGATAAGAAGAGTGGGTACAAAGGAAAAGAATAGTATGATATTCGGGGAATAGTAACATTAGCCTGGATGGAATTCATATTAAGAGGAGATGAATGATAAAGGTGGAGAGTTTTTATTGTTAGCTGAGTTCTGGCTATATTATTTTGATAATGGGTATTAAGAAAGTTAAATAATTGATCTGTGGTAGCTCTAGAATAAAAAAGTAAACTCTTGTTAGTTGTTTTGTGATTCTTTTTAGTGATTTTCATTATTAGAAAATTCTGTCTTTGAAATAAGAACTAGGTATTAATGAAGTAAAAGCTAATACAACTAGTGAATTTGAAAATACTATAATAATTACTTTTAAACATGAATATTTTGACCTACACAAGAAACACTTCTAAGAAACCACAAATTTCCTTTCAAAATGATGACACATCCCATTTTATGCTCTAGAATAGCATTTTTAAAAGTATTTTTATAAAAAACAAATAGGATTTAAATATTTTTCTAATTAATCTATTAGATATTTTATAGTTCATAATATTCTCAACTCTACTTTTAGAATGCAGTCTCTTATTTACACCTCTTTATAGATCTAACACTTGAGGAAGCTTTATAACATTTCTAATTCATATCATACAAGACACTAGAAGGGATTTCATTAAAAGACAAGTATGGATTTAAAGGTACTTCTCAAATATGAATATCCCAAGTTTTTACTAACCCTCAAAATCCTCACTAAAAAAAACCAAACTGAATATTTAGAATTTTTGAAATAGTTGTCAAGATCAATTTTGCAGGTAACTACCCAAGTTACTTTTTTTCCCAACAAGGGAAGCTGTTAGGTTAATCCATGTGAAACTGCTTTTTTTGTAAGTCAAAATGATAACCTCTTAGCATTTTGCTACTGTTCAACATAAAAATTCCATCTTGGCTCTCCCAAGTTTTACAAGATTGGTAAAAGTCCGTATCTAAAGGGGGTGGGACAATCTAAAGGTAGAACAACATTCTTCTAGGAATTGCATATTCTTTGACAAACTGGCTTTTATTGAGTCTCTATTATATGAAGTTCTGCCCTAGCCCTGTGGTTTATTTATTTAGCTTTAATGGTTTATAATCTAGTAAAAAAAATATAAACAAATACAGATAGATATGCATGTCATTAATTTTACCAAGCTTAAAAGAAGTTCCTATGCTAACATTTGAAATAATAAAACATTTGTGGAGAAAAAAATTCACCCATCCTCAAAATTTCAACTGGCCCACTTTTCTTACAATGGAATGGTAGGGTGTAAATGCTATTTTATACCAGCACCTAAAGCAAATAATAGGATTTAGCTCATAGGTATAGTGGATGGTTTTAGCTGAAGGCTTTTAATTTTTAATGCTATGTTGGCTGCCCATTAAAATGAGAAGGTTTGGCAAAGGAAACAGAAGGATTGAGGTAGATTTGTGTCAAGCAAGTAGCTTTTGGGGCCAGATGACAAGTTTCTTAATGTGCTTTGTATTACAGAAAATCAGAGGCTAGAGAACCTCTGGGGTTTTATCTTAATTTTAGCATATTTAAGTATTTTGTTAAACATCTATTTCTGAAGAATGGTATGATTGAGGTAAAGCAACTAGTCAGTACCTAGTCAATGTAGAAAAAATGTTAGAACATATACCAAACATAAATGCTATTACTGTGACAACTTCTACCACAATAATGTCTTATCTATATCGACTCACTAGGAAATTGAAATATAAATAGAATGTATTTTAATTATAAAAGCATTATATTTTAATTATTATATATAACTATATATAAAACAAAACAGTGGGCATATTAAATAAGAGCATATGATACAGAAATAGGGCTTATCAGTTAAGTTTGATGCTTGAGTTCAAATAGAAAACTTATATTTACTTGGCTGTCACTAGTGGGGGACATTAGTGCTTCCTAATCACAGAGAAATACCGGTCATCTTTCTTTTTCAATTGTTTCATCAGGAAGAATCTTTTTCAGGTGATAAAACTTACAAGCTAAATTAAAATGCACTCTACTCATTGGCAAGCCACACCAGCAAGAATAATGTGATCAGAGTACTTGAAAGTTTTTGATTTATAACTATACTATTCTCTACTTACAAGGCTGCAGTCTAGGAGGCAGAGCAATGAATCATTACAATTGTCTATCTGGGAAATGTCAAAAGATTAAATAAGGGCAGAAGAAGAGAGAAAAAGAAAGAACACACATTTCTGTCCAAGAAGTATTCCTCAATTAATGGGATGATATCACTAGCACATAAATCCAGTGTTGAAGAAAAAATAATTAAATTTGTAAGATGTTCAAGTAAGACTACTCACAAACCATAATGTTTAAACTTCCTAGGTAGAAAAGACATTATTTTCCAGAGCTTTGCTAACTAAATTATTCTATATTTGGCTATCACATGACCTACCCCTATATATTAAGAGCTTGAAAAGTAAATATAAGCTGAGGAAATGAATTAGAAATCTGAACCAATCACTAATGGATCCATCTTTTTTAAAAAAGGACACATATAATTTAATTGATACTTTGCCAATACAAAAATAAGCATCCACAGAACGTTTATTTACTGTTTAAATTACTCCATATTTTCATATATCAGAACAGAAAATATTTTTTACCCCACACATAGTAAGAGCAAACAAGTGCATTTCTTTCAAACATTAAAAGTCATAATTAAATCTGTACAACAGATAAATAAATTTATACCTCTAACAGTTAACTTGTAACAAAACAAAACAAAACCTGAAACATATACTGACAAAACTCACTGGTTTCCTTATGGTTATATACATCTCAATCAAAACAACTTGAATCTTTACTATACTGCACAAGTTTAGATTGATAAATATTTTTTTAAAAATAGGAGGGAGTAATAGGAAATACCAAAATGGTTATAAAGAGCTTTCCAAACATTGGAAATAATATACAAAAATTAATTAGTTGGGGAAAACAAATTAAATGGATCCACAGGGTAACTGGTGTTACACTGGGATAGCTTAAGGGAAGGAAGCAGGTGAATGTTTGGATTGGAAAGAAAATTTGGCCTTTTTATAAAAAGAAGCAACAGTAACATCAACAATGACAAAACCCTGTCATGGAGCCTAGAAGAACTTGGTGAGACAAGTGTACAAAGATTTAGGCTTGTATACCTGAAAACCATAGTTAGGAAGAAAAATTATGTCAAGAAACATATAACATCAGAACATGAACACAGAAATTAGAGGCATACTGTTTCTCATTCCACATCATTGCACACATGGTAAGAAAACAATACTGCAGTCACTCTGGAGTAAGAAAGTTTTCAGTGAAGTAGGAAGTTCCATGATAGATGTAGGTGTAGACAAACTTATTACCACAAATTTAGTAAATATCAAAACACTTGGTGGTATCACTTGGCTAATTAAATAACCTGTATTTTTTACTGGAAAGGTAACTATTTCCCTGCCTTCATACGTTAACTTAAAAGTCATTTATAAATGGAAATACAGACCTAGTAGAAAAGACTTTTCACATGCAATCCTATTTGATACACACTGCTTCCTCAATTTTTTTTTCAGCATTTCACATTGGATACGTACATTTCCAAAAGACACAACCACACATGTTCAACAGACGTCACTGAACTGTCCTCTTGCCACACATTTGTTTTTACGTACACATTTATATTTCCAGATAGATGCTTTTCTCTTCTAGGCAGACACAAACTTAGCCTGAAGAATTTCAGTTTTTTAGGATGTTAGGAACCTAATGTCTTGATTTATCTTGAATGGATGATAAGATGAGGAGTCCACAAAAAAATGCAGCTATGCATGCCAACCTTTTCAGCAGAGATGAGTTATCTTTAGGAATAATAATCTGTGCAAGATCATTAGTGATCTGAGAAATTTCGTGTGCCACACAGACAAATATGAAAGAGCTGACAATGATGTTGAGTGTGGGGTTTCCGGGTATGAGAACCAAAATACCCCTTGTGTCCGCTGCCAGCCAGATGTGATACTGGCAGATAAACAGCTGGAGGGAAAAATATTTGAAGTCAGATACGTAAGAGGCCCAGGAATATATCACAATTTTTCCTAATTTAAACATTTGATAGCTTAATTGCATTAGGCTTTTCCAAAACCACTTAATTCTGTATCACTGTTGGCTCTAAAAAGATTACTGCAGTTTATTTCTCAGGAACTCCTATGTGCTAAACACTCCTTCAAAGTCTCCAGAAATCAACCTTCTACATGGTACCATTGGAATCTTCTAACTTAAAACATTTCTTTTCATAATACAGAAGACAGCTGGAAGAATGGTATTAGGACTCTAGTACTGAGAGGCCAAATAAAGAATGATGACATGTGTGCATACATTTATACATATGTGTAATCCATATGTATACACTTATGTATATACTTGTGTGTATATAAGTGGGAAATGGCATGGTTTTTAAGACGTCCTCATGTTTACTCTGGATGGCCAGCCAAATGCCTTGAATTGTATTTGCATGCTTCTAAAATGTATTTCAATTTCTATGTAAGTATACATATTAGACAACATCACTGCAACTTTTGATTATGATTACAGATGTGCTTCTTTTATCACACTGTTTCAAAATATCACAGTAGGAAAATGCTTAAGCTACCTAAACAAATAAAAAAACTGAAATTTCTATATTTTTTATAGAACTACCAAAGAGTAAATTTATTCAATTAAAGTCAATAAAACCTCTCAGGCTGGCAAAATAAACATTCTTTTGTCTACTCAATGTTGGTAAGTCACTCATGATCAAGAATTCTAAATTTTATATAATCTCTATAAAGTAGACTTCAAAAAAATAGAGTATTTATTCAAGAACTCAAGGAGAAATTCATTTTCCCTATTTTAAAGACAAATTAATATACCTTATTTTCTAAAATATATCTTTTATGATCACAACATGAATTCTATTTAAAATGTTCTATTTCAAATAATAAAGCTCAGAGTATTCAGAATGTATTTCAAAACCTACTTTAAATTGATTTTCTAGATAATTTCATGGTAGTTATACATGCAAAATGGAATGAGTTTAAAAATTTTCCCAAAATTTCCAACCATTAGGGTGAATTTTATTATGATAAGCATCAATAAACTAAATCCCAGTAATGCAATATTTAATTATGGAGATTAGCAACAAATCAAAATTCCCTCACTTGATTTCATTTATATCTACTTTTTAATTTCATTTATATCTATTTCATTTTTTTTCTCTCTTAATCTCAGCATCTTGGTTGTACTTGAAAGTTTAAGACAATGTAAAGAATATCTGAAAGTTACCTATGTTAGTCATTTAAATAAGACTTTAAAAACATTCTATAATACTTTTACTGGTATTGAAACTTCTGACATTTTCCCCTATAATTCCATAATAAGTAACAGTTTATAGAATTATACATATACAGAATAATTTATAGAATATATAAATAAAATGCCATAAATAAAATAACTTTGGTTAAAAGATATATGCAGATTTCACACACACACACACCACACACACACACACACACACACACACACACACACACACACACCTGGCTATCTAGGACAGAACAAAATATTAATGTACCAACCTCTAAGGAAATTTTTCCAAACCAAGCAAAAAATGAACTGTAAACAGAACGGGCATATCCAGGGATATTCCTTATTAGGATGAAGGCTAAAATCTAAAGAAAAACCACAAAAGCATTTAAAAAATTTGTTTATTATAAATAAATAAATAAATTATTACAAAAAATAAGCAAGTTTTAATAATCTGTGTATTAAAAGCATTTTGCTTTCCTTCAAGTGATAACTTTTTTATGTTTTTGAACTTGATACATACACAATGGGTTTTTCAATAGATAAAGTATTAGCAAATTATTTCTGCTTTAGAGTCAACCCAAATGGAATTTCTCAACATGTGGTCTGTATACTGCATACTAGTGCAGATTTTAGGTAGTATATGGCTGAACAGTTCTATTTTATGTATATTGGAAAAAATATAAACCCACTTTGGAGCCCTCTGAGTAGAAGCAAATGATATCACATTTATGTGGCAAATTTACTAAAATCCCATGATATAATTTTCTTTCTTCCATGAAGTATCTGCTTGGTTGGCAGCCACCCTCCCCCTCTTTTTGTTCTCTTCAAAAACTTCCTTCCACTGACCGTCATGTAAATATGGGAAATGGCATTTGTTTTAAGATGTGCTCATGTTTGCTCTGCATGGCCAGGCAAATGATGTCTTCAACTGCATTCATGTTTAATATATTTTCCCCTCTATATCTTTTTCTCCCCCAGAAGAATTTCCAGCTTTTGGACTTCTGGCCTTCACCCCAGCCCCCACCCTTTTGCACTAGGTGGAACAATGTCAGATTTTCTGAACATCCAATTCAGTGTCACATCCAGTAATCAGTTTATCAAGCGAGTAACTCTTAGAATCCACTATCCTTAAAAAGAAGCAAGAAGTTGTAAAGAAATAAGTGTCCTCCCTTTCACAAATATCATTCAAAAATGTTTTCTCATAAAAAGATTGGAAAATCAATTTTTGCTTCAGAGAAACCTCAATATTCAGTGTTGATCACTCTGCACATTTTGTCAAAGGCTTTAGGAAGAGGTGTCTAGTATTCATAAAAGATGAGAAAATAGGAAATACATGGACAATTCTATCATTGTGAAAAGGGAACCAAAGTGAACTACTCAGGTATAATTAGCATGATTAGCATCAGAGAGATTCAAGTTTGAATCTGGCCTTTGCCTTGTATTAGTTATGGAACTTTGGGCAAGGTATTTTACTCTTTAGGTCTGCTTCCTCATCCATACAAATGGGTGTAAGATTTACTTTGAAAGGTTGATAATGAACACTGAGAAAACATATACAAGATACTTATTATATATTGTGAGTCATTTAAATAAATATATTAGGTAAATTAATAGTAGAGGTGATATACACAAATGATAAAAATCATAAAGGTGAGACCTAAAGTCCTTGAAAATAAAACTATTTAATAAGTTACTATAATTAAAATATTGCATAACTGTACAATGCTACAAAGAATGATACATGTACATTCAAATCACTAGCCTGAGCATTAGAAAATCCAGGAATAACCTTACTCAAATCACTTTCCTTTTCTGTGTCTTTAATTTACCATTTCCCAATGTGTATTTATTTCTTTAGCATATTCAAGCCTTGTGTTTCATCATACCCTTAGTAAACAATGTGATTGGGGGAGCAGAAAATCAAAGAAATAACAACCATGGAGAAGATAACTGGGGTCATTCTCATTAGCTTGATATAGAAATAGTAATAATGCTTAAAATTTGCTCAGTATTTATACCTTGCTGAGTACTGTGTTAAGCAATTAATATACATTATTTATGACTGATCAACTGTATGTTGTTTTACAGCATGCTCTTCTGGGACTCTCTCTCCAGACTTTTGGCTTAGATAAAACCAAAAGGTCAGGATTCAAGGGTTGATAATATAAGCCTTTTGCTGGGTCAGGGTGCAAAAATACTTTCTAATAGGACACTAGAAATCTTGTACATGTTTAAAATCTTAAAGAGGACCCCTCGATAAGTACCCTAAGGATATATAATCACACATAATTTTTACATAAGTCTATGTAAGTATACTTATATAACCACAGTGTCCTATACATATACACACACCCTCACCTACACCCCTATGCCACCCCCCACCTCCATCATCTGTTGGCATCTGAGATGAGAATGAAATGTGATAAGGATATGGATGTACCCAGTAACATGTGGAGCTATCTGGATGCTTTCTGACTTTTACTTGGGAACAAGTGCTCCTGAAAAGAAGTAGCAGTCAATAAAATTAGTACTCTCTTCAATTTGTGTTTCCGGTCCACTCTTTTTCCTCTGCAATGGAGAAGCTGAGGCCCTCACAAAAAAAGTCACCAAGGAAATATGAGGATGTAGAGACTAAGAGAAGATGCTCCAGAAATTCTCCTGGCTCTTCTTTGCTATTATAGGCCTCTGCTTACACAGTACTTTCTCCAAGAACCTTGTTTTGATGTTAAGGTAGGTTAGGAGGAAGTCCCATGTGTTTCCAAAGCACCCTAGACTTAACCTTATCACCACACTGATTACAGTGTTCTACAATTACCCACAACCAGAGTAATCTCTGCAAAATATAAATCTGATTTGAGTTGCCCCTAGCTTCTGTCCACCTCCCGGTCATCACCACACATTTCTCTAGACCCTGACTCTCTGAGCTCCAGCCCCAATGACCTTTAAATTCTCTGTATGTGAATATGCTCCTTTCTACCACAGGGCCTAAATTCTTGCTGTCTGCCTTCATCCCTCCATTCTCAGCTTAATTTTTTCAGAGAAATCATATCTGAATCCTGACCACCCTTGCTCCAGCTCCAATTAGGTCATACTCCTTTATCACATTCTCTATAGCAGCATCATGTACTTTTATTTATAATTAAGTGATTATATAATTACTATCTGTAACAGAAGAATATAGGCTCTGTGAAGGTAGGAACTATGATTTGGTTACTGCTGTATCCCCAGAATAATATCTAGCACACAGTAAGTACCAAATATATGTTAAGTGAGTAAAAAATAATCATTAAATGAATGAATGAAAGTTTATCTCTATTAGACTGCAAGTGCTGTGAGAGGAGTTGTATCTTGTTTAACATTGAACTTCTTATATATAACATGATATTTAACACATTAATAACTCCGATTAAGTGAATATATACATGAAGAAATATGAATGAATAAAAAGCAAATGTAAGGAGAATTAACATTTTCTAAGAGCCTATTAAATGACAAACATTGATCATCTCCAACATTTAATGTAACAGCCCTTTCAAAGAAATTATAATATCCCTGTTACAATAGAGGAAGATAGGACTTAGAAAGATTTAGTAATATACCCAAATTTTATAGAATTTCAAATCTATAAAAGTTTATGGAGTCTCAAATCTCTCTGCCTCTAAAGGCTGTGTCCTTATCAAGGATTAAGGAGAAAAAAATTTTCTAATTCAAGACAATTACCTGTACCACAGAAACAGATGGGTGGAGTTCATTGCACTCTGCTTTGTTTTTACAACTGCTAGCCCAGATGGAATAAGTCTAAAACAAAACGTATATGGATCAGTTAAAAAAAAATGGTTAGACCTTAAAGAGGTGGCATTCTCAGAATTTTTAAAGAAGTTTTATTTATAACATATTTCATTATGCTACTTAAAAAGCTTCAGTAGAAAACTGTGCACAGATTTGCTCACCACTTGTTTGGTGGGCTCAGCTGCTCAAATATGAGAGAGCAGAGAGAAGAGAGTGTAGGCCTGTGCTTTTCTGGAAATAATGATCATGAGGCTGATGGGCTCTTCCTGTCAAATACTTTACAATATATTTTTTCCCCAAATTTATTACAACTTTAAAAATTCCTATTTCACTAAGCTCTCAGCTCTCTTTCACATTTATATCACATTTGCATTCTCTGTAGAATTTATGTTTACTTGGAAAAGGAGAAAAATTTTTAAATAAAGATTATACTTATTAAAAATAACTGATTGAATTACTGTCTCTTAAAGTTAATTTTCTCTACCATTTAGGATTTTGGAAAAGTAAGAGTATTGATTTTTGAAACTTACCAAGAAAGAAACTACTGAAACAAACAATAGAAAATTTGAAATTTTGTTTGAAAAAAGAGGTTCACCCTTTCCTTCAGAAAGTACTTGACGCTTCTGTAAAGCCAGATAAATGAAAGCAAACAACATTCCATGAAAGACAACCTGAAAAATAAGGAAACTTTGTCTTAAACAGCTACTTTTTAATAGACAGCAAAAACATTTGGTAAATGAGGACAATGTGTTAAAAGTAAGTAGGCAGAGAGCTTAACAGTTCGAAGTTTCTTTAATGGACTTAAACTTCAAGTAAACAATAAAGTCAATGACTGTTAGAAACTACCAACTATAGACAGGCACCCTCCCTTGCAACAATATGAGATAAGCTGGTTTGTTTTCAGAAGCATCAGCAAGTGAGTAAATAAAAGCAATTCAAAAATAACAATAAAAACTATTCTGAAGACACATGAATAGTCTAAACATACTCAACCAAGATAAAACACATTTTATATTGGCACTTTCAATCAAATAAAACAAATGGCAATAATAACACCAAGATCATACTTTTAAAATAAGGAGAATATGTATAAGAAAGAAAGAAAATATGGTGGACCAGAAAACACATAAGCTTTCTTTTTTTAAAAAAAGACTTTATGTAAACTAATAGTTGTTTGTTGTAATGGGAAAGTTGAGAATTTCAAATTATTTCATGTCAAGAAGTTAGCAAAGCTTTTTATTTATATGGTTTTGAAATGCAATGTAATACATTGCAAAGTCCAAAGGTACTGGAAAACAGGAATGGCACAGAATGGGTACTAGGAAAACTTCTGTAGAATGAAAAAAGGGCTGAGTGAAAGACGTAAGGTAGAGGAGAAAGAGAAGAAGGGTAATTAATATTTATTCAGTGTAACTTTCCAAATGCTATGCTAGATATTTTACATTTTCTTGACCAACTGAATCTTAATCATCCTTCAAAATAAATTCATGGAATAATCATGACATTGTTCTCTCTTTTTTGCACACTTCTACCAAAAATACATACTGTATAATTTAGCAGCTAATTATAAGTAGTAATTGGGTTTTAAACAAGATTGTAAGGTTTAGAAATCTGGTGCTATGTATTCTTTCTCCAATACATTCCTCATAATACCAACATCTAGAGCCTATATTGGGGCTCACTAAATACTATACTGAATGGCTGAAACATACATATGAGGGATCATCTGTAGGTCAAAATTATAACTCAAACGAAGGCCACTTTACAGACAACATTTTTATAGTAATTTCCTGCTGATAGACATATACATGCATACCCTCTCTCTGCTATAAAAAAAGGAGAGAGTAGGACTGCTTTTATTTACCAAATCAACGTTTCTTTATTCCAAAACTAAATAAAAACAAATAAAAATTTTCCAAATAATTTTTTTTTTAGTATAATTTGAAATGGCAAAAGAGCACAAGGGAAATACATACGTAACGATCTAATTTTTTTTTTTAGTATAATTTGAAATGGCAAAAGAGCACAAGGGAAATACATACGTAACGATCTAACCTCCACCTGAACCACCATTCATACACATTCCCTTTCAGTTCAAAACACTTCGACAATGGCCAAAGAGAAAAGATCTTCTCAAATGCCCCCTGAGAAAAGGAATTCAGAAAATAAATTAAGATAGTACAAATTATTACTTGCTTTGCAATTCTATTATAAATTATAATTTTCTAAAGTTAGGATATGAATCATCCACAATTTAAAAATTTTATTTCATTTGAAAATATCACTTCATTTGACATTCATTTGACAATAAATTAATTTTATTAAAGGCTATTAAAGATGACTTAAAACTATTTTGTTAACTTACTTTCACTGTACATGAAAGGCTACTAAGACTTCAAAATTAAAAAAAAAAGCTGGTAATTGGAAAATTATTCCATTTAAAAATGGTTTTTGATCTAGTACATAAAACAGCTTGATATTTACTGATCAAAACATAAAAATACAAAAAACACCAAAAAATAAAAAAGAACTTTAGCCAATATAATATCAATATCCTACAGAATGATGGTTAAGGTTAAAGCGTAATTTTCTTTCTCTAAATGTCCTTAATAATCTATAATTAATCATTTGTATTAAAAAAATCCTTTGAATCAGCCACCTTACTTAATCAACCATACCCCAACACCATTACCAGCCTCTGAAACAAAAGTTTACAATTTTACTCTGGCAGGTTAGTAAATGGTACCCTCTTATTAATCTGACAGCCTGGAAAATGTGGGACTGAAGTGGGAGAAGTCTTGGGTACATTTCTGCACGTTAATGATGTCTTTCAAAGAACAGAACAAAAACTTCACCAATTTCCAGACTAAAGAATGATGACAAACCCCGTTAAGGAAAACTCCATTATTAGACCTAATGCCACAGTATAAAAAAAAAGGTAACATCACAATTTTTAAAAAGATTAAAAACCAAAGAAAAATATGAAAATAGTATTATATTTTAGGTTATGCTGAATCCTTAGATAGAAAAACTTTGTATAATTTTAATAAAATATAATATTCTCTATTTACAGAATTTAAATACTCTTATTTTATTAAAAATAGGTTATATCAAAAATCTATGCCTCAGAAAATTAAGGATGATTCTTACCAAGAGTTGTTACATAAAGCACTTACAGATCACACACACACACACACACACATATATATATATATATATATATCAACATGAAATATAGAAATCTAATAGGTATATAACTATTAGAAAGAGATATATGGTCTTACAGATCATATACCTGTGATGTATATATGTGAATATCATATCACAAATATTTGATGTATTTATAAAGTTTTATTTCTGATTAAAAATTTATTTATTATGTGATCAATAAACAAGTATTAATATATTAAGCACCCATTTTGTGGAAGGAACTGGGCTAAACTGAACTATGTACTTTTTTGTTCCTTATCCAGTAGTCAACACTGATTCAAAGTTGGGGAAACAATCTTAGTCTATTTATTGAACCTCTTTTCTTTCCCTTCTCTCAGAGGCATCACAGTGTTGGGAGTTTTGATGAATAATTGTCAAGCACTTCTTGGAGTTCCCTGGCTATTTCTTTATTCATTTGTCTATTGTTTCCTTATTATTTATGTATTTCCTGCAAAAAACCTTAAAAGTCAGGCAGAAATATACATGCTTTATTTGTAAGTATGAAAATAAGTATAAAAGCCTACAAAACAAACACATAAAAACAGCTTTATAAGACACACACCCTATCAATGCTTATATGACATATGTACCTGACGCAGCCTGATACAAGATAGAGAATGCTGGAGGCAGGAGTAAATGGTAGAATATGCCATAACTATAGACATTCAAATAAAAATATTTTGTTATAAATATCACGCTGCCCAAATAATATTTCTGCCTGATGGGCTGACCAGCAGGTAGCAGTTTGCCAGCCTGTTAATGTACCTGTGAAAATCTCAAGCATCATAATAGGGGGATAAAAGTGAGAGATAAGAAAATGACCAAAATTTTAATTAAACTAAATATACTACATATTTATAAAGCCCTTTGCTTCTAAGTTGGTTTTACTAACTGCCAAAATTTTACTCCATGCTGTTATGGAAAAATCAAGTAACACTTTGATGCAATGAATAATGCACAAACCAAGTTGCAAATTCTGTCAAGAGAATTTTGATCTCCACTTATAGTAGTGTCTTATAAGAGGCATTCAATAAACGTTTGATTGATCAAAGTCAAGTAAAATGGATTTTGAACAACTGCCAGAAGAAGAGCTTTAAATTGCTCCTACAACAAAAACAGTGGTAACAAAAGTAGGTAGGTCTCAAAAGAACTATACTGCATAGTCAACTACCGAGTGACACTTTTATTACAGTCATTAGAAACTGAAGCTAAAAAAAAGCCTTGACTCTTCTCACATACTTTAATAGACTTGAACTTTAAAATAAAAGAGAATAAAATATAAACTGAAAATACTATACAAACCTGAGAATATGCCAAAAAATATATACACAACAGCAAGAAGGCTAGTTTCAACAGTAAGCCAAAATGCCAGAAACAATTTCCTGTAAGAGAAAATATTTAATTTGCTAAGAAATGTAAATTTACATGAGAAAACACATTAAATGCTGCTCAATGTATTGATACCCTGCATCATTCTCAAAATGATTTACAGCTGCTTACAACATATCCAAGTAGTATGAATTACAAGTATGACAAAAGGAAAAAAAGGTGGATGATCCCTGCTAGGAATGAGGCTACAACATACATACACCTGATACCCTATATACCTGCTGTTCATCCACTATAAATATATTTGAAAATACTCCTTTGATTCAAGTTTATCAATTCATTTTTGAAAGTTACAACAAAATTTGGAACAATATGTTCATTGTAATCTAACAAACACTCATGTTGAATACAGCTTGGGTAATACTGCTTAAACATTAAAGTTCTTAGGAGAGAGCTTAACAACTCCCTAATGGACTACAATTTAACTTTAAGATATATTTCACATAGGTATATTTTAAGTATGTGGTCACAGTTTATACATACTGATTATTTATTTGATTAATATGCTGGGTTTGTGTCAAGTAATTAAACTACAGGGGCTGTCCAATGATACTAATGGACTTTATTAAAATCTGGAACTCAACTCTGTCCTGAAAAATTATTTGATAGTATAATGGAAGCCAATAGAAAATATTTGTTGATGTACAACATCTGGTTGAAAGAGTTAACTACATTATTAAAAATTTTTAAGTATTATTTTTCAAAAAAGGAAAGCTTTTATTTTAATGATATAATCTCGAGGAGAAAAAGCATTAAGATAAATGATTGTGGCCTCACTTTGAACATTATCAGCAACTGGCTGTGTGGAGTTTGAAGATGACAACCTTTTAGATTTCCTTATATGTAAAAGAGGTTGATAATACCTACCTAGGGTTCTCTAGAACTAAATTTTATTAGTGATTTTTAAAACTTGTTTGACATAAAAAGCCTATTTGCAAATGAATGTTTATTCAAAATCTTAATATATGTAAGAAATCAAATAAATCAGAGTTGCCAAGATTGAAGCAGGATATAGGGGTTTGGAGTTCCTCTTGGCTTTCTCTTCTATCTTCTAGCTCTCTCCATTCTGGCTTTGTACAAGACAGTTTGCAAGTTGTCGCATTAGTTAACATGCAAAATGGCTTCGAAAAGTTTAAACATAAAAAAAGAGCAAATACACACAATATACCTGCAAACTATTATTCACACTGTTACATTACTTCAACTACTTAGCTGTAACATTTTAGAAATATAGCCTAAGAAATAAATCTCAAAATGTCAAAACTACACATAAATTTAAACTGTCTTAATGACTTAATAAAAAAATGGCCTTTGGCAACCAAAAAGAAATTTAGTACATTGAAAGAATGAATTTTAACATTAGTAAGAGAGTATATTTACCGTTTGCTTTTTTTTGGATTATTTGTGGCCATAGTGCTAAAGTAACATATATGACCATGAACCATACAGTGACCAAGGGGACAAAGTAATAGAATTGATAAGGCCGATCCATTACTACACATAACACCACTACCAGGAAATTGAGACGAAATAAGACCTATTAAAAAAGAAAAGAAAATGATTTTCATTTCAGGTATGAATGAAGAGCAAAAACAAATTCTAATAGAGTATGAATGCTTAAAGACTAAAATGATAACTGTACAAGTATATTTCACTAATCCCTAAAATTACATTTGTTCTACAATCACTGTAAAGAGTTGAATATAAATATTTATTCATCATTATATTAGTAAATCCCAGCAAAACACCAGCCTGAGCTGTTCTCTGGCTACAAATGCTACCTTGTTAAATGAGGGAAAGAATCATAAACCTCCTTCCTAGGGTTGCAGTTTATAAGCAGAGATTAGATTACCTCAACAAAAGGGTGTCCATTTCATCTCTGTTTCACATTGATTTACCCCATTTGGGATTAAGTTGAGAGTTGTCATAGATACAAAATAATATTACTCAAATTAAAAAGTGTTTTTGGGACTTTTTTAATAGTCATTTCAGACATGGTGATGTATTCCAAAACACAGAATTTGAGTAGATTGATATAAAGCTGGACCATTTACTATGTGACTGTAGGGAAATTATTTAACCTCTCTGAGCTATAGTGTCCTTGTCTGTAAACATGAAGATCACAACTCAGGATTGTAATGACAGATCAATAAAATAATGTTCAGAAATGGCCTAGCACAAGGGAGAAACTTGACAAATATTAGTACTCTTCTTAGAGAAAGCATAGCATATTACAATAATCTCAAGTAAATACATTTTTACAAAACTAAAATGAATTAGCAGTGATGTCCCTTGTGTATACCAGTGTTTTATTACACATTCATCTAAATTATATTTTCCCTCCCCTCAGTAATAAATTATTTATCTTGAATTATTAACTATGAACAGAAATGATACAATTTTAAATTGCAATTTCATAAATTCATATTATTCATGGTCTTATAATGATTATATTTATATTTTCATGTCAAAATTAAAGAAAAATAAAAATAACTGAACACAATCCTACCTGACATACTCTATGGATTCCAAAGTCTCCTTTGATCCAAAAGTAGGAGAAATGCCCATACCCTGTCTGAAATAGATATGCAGCAACCAGAACCCGAATGTGCATGTACACAGGCAAAAACTGTTGACAAAAACAAATAGGTAAAATATATGTTGTCAATAACTATACCTTGAATTACCCTAACCAGAAGATTTAACCAAGACAATGGATCATCATTAACACTTGGCATTCACTCAATGAAAAGATTTATCCTTAAAAGTTAGGCATTATTAACATGTTAAAAAAAAATGCAGACTCTAATTGGAATCAGACCTAGGTTCAAATTGTTTCTGCCACTTACTAGCTTTGTGACTTTAAGTTTGAGTTTTCTAAACTGCAAAATGACAGTCACCTCCCTCCTCAAAGGGTTCTTGTGAAGAATGAATTAATAAATATGAAGAATTAAATATATACCTATAATTACTAATCAGAACACAAGATCATTCTATACTTCACATTTGCCCAATGAGATATAAACAAAACCAAAATTCCACATTTTTTGCCTCCTTAAATAGACTTCAAATTTGCAAATAAAATTGTCACACAACTACTTCCAATATATATTTAGCAAAAAATAGATATTTAAAAAACATACAAACATAATTTAGAAATATTATTTCCCTCTGACTCATTTTAGTTTTACAGTCCTACATCAATGTTGCATTATGACCAAGACCCTTAAAATCACTTACCATGGTTTTTCAGAGTATTACATCTTCACTTTTAAATTGAATGAAATATAACATATTTCTAATCTATATTCTATAGGAGTCACTGGAAATACTACCTCATTTTTAAGTCTTAATTCTCATAACCATCATTCCACCTGTCTTCATGAGTTCCACAACATAACTAGTGCACTATTTTTTTTTTAATGATCTTTAAAACACTTGCTTGTTCAGTGAGACATTCAACCCTTACAATTTTAAGGCCATTCTTTTAAGGATAAATACTAAATTTAGGCAAAACTTTTTTGGCTTGTATTTTATAGACTCATCCAATCATCTCTGTAATTATCCAGCATTAACATTCCTTATGGCCACTTTAGGTTAACCTAATAACCATATTTTGCTTATTCAAATCCTAGTCTTTACAGCCCTGTTCAAATTTTCCCATTTTTACTCTCAGATGAACATCAGTTTTCTTCCTCTGAGTTCTATATATCAAACAGAATTCTAATTTATTGCCCATTATCATTACTTCTTTTTAAATATCTCATCATTAAATCAGGAATTTCCATTGAAGGTATAACATATTAGAATCACAGGGATAAAAGTGGAAAATATGCTTAAAATAATTTCCATATTTATCTAATCTAAACCTGTCTTTATCTGTCTTTACTTCATTCTTCAATACACTCTAAAATATTCCCTACATGTATTTGAGTACATACTAATAGCAGAATACATACAAATTTCCAAGGCAATCCATTCCATTTTCAGACAGTCATTAGCTGCTATAAAGATCCTTTTCATGAAAGGTTGAAAATCTAATTCCATATCAAAGCTACCAACTTCAGCCCTCTAGGGCAGTGCTGTGCAACAGAAATAAAATGCTAGCCAGTCACATAGTAAATTTTTAATATGGGTACCAGAACACTTAAACATTAAAACAATCAAGTGAAACTAATTTTAATGAATACATTTTACTTAACTCAATATATCCAAAATATTATCATTCTAGTAGGTAATGAGGTATTTCTATTCTTTTTATATACTAAGTTTTTCAACTTAGCATGCATTTACCAGAATTAACCATATTTAATCTGGTATGTATTTCACATTTACAGCACATCTCAATTCCAACTAGCAACATTTCAGGTGCTCAAGAGCCATATGCAGGCTGGTGGTACCACAATGAAGAGTCTAGCTCTAGAGCCAGATGCATGTGTTTAATCACTTTTACATCTGAAAGTTCAACAAGTATTTGTAAACAATGTCAAACCTTGGCTAACCATTCCCAATGACTTTAATCGCTGTCCATAAAACATGCTTACAAGTCCCTTTAAGGCTGGGGCTAGGTCTACAAAGTTGGAACTTTGTTATCACACTTAATTTAATACAATTAAATTTACTATTGAATTTACTATTTAATACAATTGCATTTAAATGAAATTAAGCACTATCACAAAAATTTGCCAAGTTCCTGCCAGTGTTCGTTTATTACAAATATCATATAATCTTTCAACTTTTTATTTTAAAACACTTTTGAATAACATCTTACTACACTGATGGACAGTGATTGTAATGCGGTATGTGGGGTGACTTGACAATAGGGGGAGTCTAGTAACCATAATGTTGTTTAAGTAATTGTACATTAATGATACCAAAATAAAAAAATAATTAAAAAAACACAACACTTTACCAACAGAAAAGTTGCAAGTATATAGCACAACAGACACCTATATACCATGCTTACCCATTTAAAAGTATGTTTAAGACTACATGATATCATCCTTAAATATTTTAGCAAGTATCATCTAAGAATAGTTTCTTATATGACCCTATTATCAAATCAGTATCATACCTAAGGTTAAATATGAATATAATATCTACTGTTTAACCCAGATTCACATTTCCCTGATTATCCCAGTAATATCCTTTATGGCTTAAAAAAAATTTTTTTTTTAACTTAGGAACCTTGAATCAGGGATCACACACTGCATTTAGCTGTCATTCCTCTTTGTTCTCATTTAATCCGAACTGTTTCTGTCTTTCATTGAGTCAAGTATTACTTATAACGTTTTAGTATTAAAAATATATTTGGAATTCTGATTTCATTAGAATCAATAGTTAGGCTGACTTCTGGTTCGGTTCTTTTTCTAGTCCCACAAATTTTCCCTGAAGACCTTACATCAGGTCCCTTCATGAAAGTTATTTATAAACTCTCACAGGAAAAAATTTCCACAACGGATCACAGAAGTCATCTACTGTGTTTTTGGGAAAGTATGCCTAACTCGCTGTGCTCTCCATATAAGTTCACAGTTTTATCCATATTTCATATAAATCATATTATAAAAGAATGTTTATACCAACAATTACAATCTGCCAGAGCATCTGGATTATTTTAATAATTCTCTAATTTTTGTATGCAGTTTCTATTTTAGTATTAAAATACTGCACAACTAAAGTTTGACATATTTACTCAAAAAACATTAAGCAAAGGCAATTAAGATAACTGTGGCAGTTAAAAGGAATTTTTAATTAGGATATTCCCTCAAATATCCAAGAATCAAATCCCAAAATGAAGTCCCACTATTAGCATGTTATATATAACCCATACTAATAACACTTCACTGATGTAGGTACAGGTAATTTTTAACCACAAAGTCCTACATAACAGAAAAGGGATGATGTTAATTAATCATAACAAATGATCTGTTAATGAAAAGTATGTCCTCCCAGAACGGGGATTTTTTTTTATTGTAATTTAGAATGTATGGGGGCATGTAGTGTAAGATGTATTAGAATGTTAGCTTGGCAGATGATTATAATAGAATGCATTTGCCTGCATCCTCTTATGATCCAAATTCTTTCTGGAACCACTGAATTGAGGAATTTAAACTGCCATTAATTCTTTCTGATTTTTTTTTTAACAGTAGAATCACCCTTTAATATGTCAGCAATTAGTTATGTCTCTAAGTGGCATTTTCTTAATACAAAACCCTTTTCCCCCCTCAAATTAACCTAGTCTTTATTCATATGTAAAAGATATTTCCAGGATTCAACATTTGTCTCTACTTACTTTTAAGAGAATCTGCCAAATTTATCATACAAATTCTGAACTGAGCTTATACACTCAGTCTTACTCGCTTCATCTCTCCTTATCTTGGATCTGTTTTATTGTCTTGGCTCTTCCCTATCTGAATTCACAAGGTCCCCTTCAGCTGCAGTGTCAGAGGAATTTCACTGCTACCACAAACATACCTACCCTATTTTAGTAAGACAAATACTTTATTCCTGTCTTCTGCCCTTCAAACAGACTATTCATAAAATTACCAAAAATTTTTGAAAATAATAAAGAGACTTAATGAAGAATAACACTATTGTCTATTGTTAGAGATATCTGAAAAACCTCAGTATTGTTTACCTTCTTAAATACTGGTATGGAGATTTCAAAATATTCCTTTCTGGGCAACACTCCCTTCTTACCTCAATTTATCATTGATTCAGATACTTTTTACAGATACGTGCTTTAAATAAGCAAATAAAGCAATAAAAAACAGCTCAGTAATTCCCAAATTATGAATGAGTTTAAAAAATTTTTAATTTCTAAACCCTTTGCTATTAACTGTAACCTACAAAGTTTCTTAATGTCTTCAGTTGTTCAACAGGATGACATAAAATAACACCCCTGGCTAATCAGCTGTTTCTACTACATTAAAATTATGGCCAAGTATTACAAATAAATTATTGTCTTCTCTTTTAAGAAATTTTATTTTGCTTTTAAAACTATACATTTTTAGAGTCAGGAGAAGGATGAGTAGGAAACAAGAAAGGTCTCTAAAAGTAGAGAATATGAAACACAAAAGATTTGGTGCCCTTAAAGAAACATTAAAGTAACATTATTTCCTATATTTTCTGAACTTAATTTCAAAATACTTACTGTACTTGCTCCAGAGATATGATAAATCAAGATCACAAGTTGCATCCAGCCTTTCCATTCATCTGTTTGTTCTCTATTTAATACTTTAGTCTGGGTAAAAGAACCAAATTTCTGTTTTAATTCATCATGAAGGTATTATTTGGACAGTACATACTAAGTATGATAAAATTTTTCTTATAGGATATAAAGCTAATACTTTTGTCAAAAGAAACTTGGAAAAAACAGTTAAAGGTCATCTTTTTATTTTTTGATAAAAGATACAAATCTATTCAAAATATAGTATCAACTTGAAAACTAATACAAACTAAAAGAGATTTTTAAACATTTGATACTTATAGCTTTATATTAAGATTACACTTAAATTATGACAGATGTTTGTATAAATCTAAAAAATGACATTCTGTATGAGAGATGCCCTCAAAAAAAAAAAAATGACATTCTGTAATTTCCTTTAAGAAAATCTTAGAATTTCAGTTAGAAAAGACCTTATAGTTTTCTTATACTTTATTGTGAAAAAAAGCTCTATTATTATGGTTTAATTTCTTTGGGATATTCTCATTGGGGATGAAAAACTGATTAATCATCTTCAGATATTTTTTACAATTCAATAAATCTTGTCTTATAAAGGAGTTACACTAATACTCTGAGCAATTAAAGCAATCCAAATATAGGATACTCAGAATATTGTGAGCAGTGCCACATTATTATGTAAGTTCTAATTTGTGTGTATATATGTCTGTATAAATATGTAAGCATAAAATGTTTGTGCAGATTGGCATTTATTAATTACATTTTTAATTATGTTTTTTACTTTATAAAACATAATAATGTCTCATGTTGGATATTATTCCAAAAAACTGGGAACACTTTCCCTTTCTTCATCCTCAAGCAGGCAAAGTAACAGTAAGTCATGACATCTTTTTAACAGAAAAATTTACCAATTTTTCAACAATCTTCATATGACTCTTTGAACTGCCTTCAAACTGCTTCAAAAAAGCAACAGTTTAGAGTCCACTAAGTGAAGTACAATCACAATACTTCTTTGTCCTTTTCTATATACATGTTTGTATATTCTGACATGAGAAATGACATTATTTCTTTAATCTGAGTTTGCAATGAGCTAAGGACAATGTAAGCTAAAACAAAACTGATTCTTACCTCTTTAGTATTTTCATTGTAAAATACTCCCAAAACCAAGATGTAGATAATTGGAATAAAGAAAGTTGAATGTGTATAAAATTTGTTTTCCTTCATAAATAAATTTGCACGGTCACACATATAGAAATAAGCCATAATCAGGCCAAGTTTGCAGAAAGACTGTAAAAGTATTTCTAATGGAGACATGGGAGTATTGATAATGTTTTTCTTTTCCTCTCCGCTTTCCAAATCAGTACACGGCTTATTCTTCCGATGAGCATTACGATGAATAATATAAAAGATTAAATATCCAATAATAGATAAAGTGAAAAAACAAGCAGCTAGCTTCTGTATGAGAGTAAGAGGAGGACGCGGTTGACAACACGAACCATCTACAGGCTTCAAAATCTTATTGCAATACACGTTCATAAGAATCATTGCACTCTGTGAACAAATCAAGTTATTTGGTTATTATCTTGTCACTAATGTATTTCACATTAGATTTTCTCCTGTGAATATTACCGACTTTTCAGCACTAAAGAAACCAAAATGCTTTTTTGTACTTTGTGCTACCATTTCCCCAAACTCATGCAAATATGGTATTCCTTCATTCTTGCCCAGGGTTTTTAAAATTTCTTGGGCTATGATCCATAATGAAAAATTCATTTTATAATATGATCCAGAACACATATATAAGAAACAATATCTATCCTTCCTACTTGGAAATACACTCTGACATTTTTCTATTCTACTCTTAAAAAACAAAAGACATAAACAAAAAAAATAATTTCATGTCTGCTAATGGCCCATGATCTTTGGTTAAAAAATACTGACAGATGTCAAAAACCAAAGAATTTTAATTAGCAGGCTTTCAATACAGAAGATACCAGGATTCTTAAGATATCTTGAGTCCCAGTCTATAGAAGTGAAAAAAGAATATAAAATTACTCCCATCAAAAAATGATTAATTCTTAGCTAACAATATTTGTAATATGCCTTTAATTTGTTTTACAGTTTATGGACCACTTAGATTTTTAAAGCTGTAAGATTTCTAATGTTAAATAAAATGTGGAATCTTTAACATGGTTTCATTATAGTAAAAACAGTCTAGGCAAGCTGTCAAGATTCTGTGCAGTTAAAGATTCATTCAATTCTGGTTTTATAAAAACTTAATAATTTAGGCATCTTTGAAATTCTAAGATTATTATATTACTTATGCCTAAGCATTCCAAGTACTCAACTATTTAGAAAACCTCACCTTTTAGTCCTGAGACTTCAGGAGGTTCAATGGCGGCACTCTTGTAAAATACTAGCCTACAAACTCCAAGTTTCTTAAGCAGTTCCACAGGGTCCTCAAAGTACATGCAGAACTGTGTGTGTACATGCAAACACATGTATTTTTTTGCAGTAGAGGAATGGAACCATTGCTTTTTATGGGATAGTCAAAGGGGTCATGTGAACCTCAAAAGAGTTAAGAATCATTGCTTTATGAGAAAATAGTTAACTTGAATTCAGTTGTACTATATGTGAAAATTTATAATTATGTAGTCTATTTCATACTTAACCTAAAATCCCTTTTTCCCTGTACATCTGAATTTGTTCAGTATCTACTATGTACCTTGAACAATGCTTAGGGTATAAGGACTATAAAGAAATAATAAAAAAAATTCTATATATTTATTAAAAATTGTGGTCTTCACAAAAGCTTATGCTTGTAAGTTTAAGGTTTAAGGCAAGGAGAAAATAAAGCAGTAGTTTTCAAACAGGAGGGTACTGAGAACATATAAGCTCCTTATAAGACAAGGTACATTAAGAGTGATTAGCACTCAATAAATGAAGTTTTTTTCATTTCTTCCCTTCCATAATTTCTGTCTCTCTTAGAGTATACTAAACTTTCACTTATATAGTCAGCAAGGTGATTTAAAGCAAAATTATTTCTAGATGTATGTTTAAACAGAATAACTACATGTAATTAAAACTGCAATTAAATTATTTATTACCATGTTATAGTGATTCTAGCTATAACCAATTAGACCTTATAGTCTCTATCTACTGACAGACACAAGAGTACTTACAGTTTCTCTGCTTGATTCAGGAAGATGTAAGCCATCCAAAGACTCCATGATGGTTTCTTGAGCAATTAATTTGGAAACACTGAACATCTTAACATTTGATTTAGAATTTCTGGTGCTACTATTCAAAATACTGACTGCAGCTTCATTGTAGGCATCTATCTTCTCATTAGTGATCATTTTCCTATTTTCACTTAATAGATCTTCATAAACAGGATCTGCACATAAAATATTTAAAAATCACACACATTAAAAAAAATCTCTATTGGTAGAAATTATGATCATGCAAATTAGTTGATTCATTTGATATTTTGTTAAAAGTTCAGATGATTCCAGGCATCTAACAATTCATTTAAATAAAGCTGGCCAAGGTTTGCAGCAGATTTCCTCCTGTTTTGCATTCAATTTTCGAATCAATCAGTATTTCCCTCAAATTCAAAGAACTTTTATTCTTCTTCTTTCATAAGTACATGGCTTTCAGGAAATGCTTTTATGTCTTCACATGTCTTAAGAAGAGGTAGTGGAAATTTAAAATTATGGAAACTGCCTAATTTAGAGTACTAGACAATCTTTTTTTCTCCTGTCATGCTTAATTTCTAAACTTTGTTCACACAATTAGGAGGTAATATTATTGAGGATCAAGGTCTCTTATCACTTACCAAGACCTTAATAAATAATAAATAGTTTCATTTTTTCTCATTTTAGTAAGAGAAAAGTTAACACTGAATCCTTAAATAAAATGGGGATTGTGGAACAGGTTATTACCACCTTTATTATTCTGCTTAGCTTGACATTCAACTTGGAAATAATCCTAAGAGTTTCTGACAAGCAACTTGAATTGCAAAAATACCCAAGGCATTTCATATTGTGTTACACATTAAATAAAGGACATTCAATAAACTCCTGAAATGAGTTGATCTAATGTCAACTTTCTCTTATAAAATTTCATTACCAAGTATAAACTACACAGTATGAATTTAAATATATTCTGTCAATTCCAAAGTTTTTACTTTCTATGAGTCTAATATTGTAAAACAGACAATAATTTTTCTGTATTTCTCAATTGCAATCAAATGTAAGAAAAAAAATCAGAAGAAAACATCTCATTTGCCTTTAGAGCTTATTTGCTTCATTATAATTCTACAGTCATTCTGCATGCTGAGGCTCCTTGGAGGATATTTTTGTATATTCATTACTTATTTTTAACTTATTTATTTGTCTATTCCTTAAGTTCAGAAGAGTAAAACAAATGACTCAAATTTATTGTAATTTTGTAACCCTTATTTCAAAATTTATTCTCATAAAGCAATAATTTTCTTTCTTGAAATAGGAGATAATAAAAATCCATGCCTCAAAATATGTACAAAATGACATTTTTTTTCATTACTTATTCCTTACCTTGTAAGACCCAATAAACATCACTAGTCTTTGCCAGTTTTTCTAGAAGTGGTGCGATGGAGGTAATGTTCATTTTATATTGAGAAAGCGCTTCATTGCTACCATTGTGAATCTTAATAGACCACTAAGAAGAAATAAAAACAAAGCATTAATTCAGAATTTATCACAGGGAAATTGAAGTACATAATTTAATCTATTTTAATGAAGGTTATTATTTTAACATAATTTCCATTTTTATTCAATATTAGAATAAAACTTGGTCAAATTATTTCATGCATGAAGGCAGGTAGAAAAAGCCAATAAAAAATAAGACTTTCAATTATAACACTTAAGAAGAAAGAATATAATCTTAAATATAAAATAATATTGACATTTAACACCAAATTTCCAAAGTTCATTCAGATTTTCTATTAAAATGCATCAGTCTAATTAATTACAATAGAAATAGGAATTAAAATATAAGTACAATCAAGAATTCTATTGAACACAAGCTAACTTTTTCTTAGCATGTCCTTAAGTATGAGACAAAAATCATGTAAGAATACAGATAACAACTTACTGTGGCAGCTCCTGCTACAATCACATGGGGCTTTGCAACAGAATCCTAAAGAAAAAAATTTTTATAATAGTGTTACCTCCACTTCAAGGAATTGATGATATAAGTAACATCAGTTAATTTTTTCCTTAAATTTAAGTTCTTCTTTCTCAATGTGTTTTCATTTTCTAGAGTTACTTATTGGATTCTTGTTATGACAAGCAGATATCCACTGCCTAAAGCCTTACATGGTTACATGGTTACACCGAATAGTATGAGGCTTGTAAGGTTAATTCTATGATGTTCTTTATAAAAAGCAAAAGCACTACTAAAATCTAATATGGCCTAATATGATTCTGAATTCCAGGTAAATTGCTCAGAGTAAAGCTCTAGTATATTATATATACTAGATATGTATATGCAATATCTAGATATATATATTATAGTTATTATGTCAGCCAATTAAAAAGTATTCATGGATACCTACAGGATACCCTGTATAAAAGTTAAATGAAATACAAGATCAGTGCACTAAAGAAACATAATCTTGGGAAAACTGGACAACTATACATAAGAGAATGAAACTGGATTATTGTCTAGCATCATACACAAAAGTAAACTCGAAATGGTTCAAAGACCTGAATGTAAGTCATGAAACCATATTCTTAGAAGAAAACATTGGCCAAAATCTCTTGAATAAAAGCATGAGCAATTTTTTCCTGGACACATTCCTTGGGCAAGAAAAACAAAACAAAAAACGAACATGTGAGACTAAATCAAACTAAAAAGCTTCTGTACAGCAAAGGACACCATCAGCACAACAAAAAGGCAACCTATAATATGGGAAAATATATTTGTAAACTACTCATCCAATAAGGGTTTAATATGCACAAATATAAAGAACTCATATGCCTCAACACCCCAAAACCAAATAACCTGATTTAAAAGTGGGCACAGGATATGAACAGATACTTCTCCAAAGAAGAAATACAAATGGCCAAACAGGCACAGGAAAAGATGCTCTACATAGCTAATCATCAGTGGAATGCAAACTAAAACCACAATGATGTATCACCTCACAACAGTTAGGATGGCCAAAAGACAGAAATATCAAATGTTGGTGAGGATGTGGAGAAATGGGAACCTTCCTAGACTGTTGGTGGGAATATAAATTGGTGCAGCCTCTGTGGAAAGCAGTATGGAGATCCCTCAAAAAACTAAAAATAGAAATACCATTTGACCCATTAATTCCACTTCTGGGAATTTACCTGAAGAAAACAAAATCTCTATTTAGAAAAGATATATACACCCATATGTTTATCACCACAATATTTGCATTAGCCAAGATATTGAAGCAACCTAAGTGTCCATCAGTAGATGAATGGATAAAGAAGAGGTGGTATATATATACAATGTAATATTATTCAGCCATAAGAATAAAACAAATCCTACTATTTGCAACAACATGGATGGAGCTAGAGGGTATTATGCTCAGTGAAATAAGCCAGACAGAGAAAGAAAAGTACAAATGATTTCACTCATTTGTGGAATATAACAACAAAGCAAAACTGAAGGAACAAAATATCAGTAGATTCACAGACACTGAGAAGAGTGACCAGTGGTGGGTTCAGAGGTGTAGGGGGATAAAGGCACACAATAATGTGCAATAAAATATAAGCTGGTCATGGGAATGGTAGTACAGCAAGGAGAATATACTGAATGATGCTGTAACATCTTTCTATGTTGATACATAGTAACTGTACTAGAGAGGGTGAGGATTTAATAATTTGGATAACTATTGAACCACTGTATTGTACATTTGAAACCAGTATAAGACTGTATACCAACAATACCTCAATAAAAAAAAGAAACAAAATCTTTTGGGAAAGCTAAATCCAGTTGTATTTAACAAAATAAACTGATATTATAGACAGTTCGGAAAAAAAGAGGAAAAATTTGGTACAAATCCTCACCAAATGCAAGTAACTTACTAGGTACTTTCTCTTAAATTAGCTTATTTTAATATAGATTCTCGCCACCTGTGAGATAGGACGCTATTATACATCTTACAAAACAAGGATACAGACTCAGAAAGGTTTTAGGCTATTTCTGAGACCTGAAAGGGATAAAGCCAGAACTTAAGTCTTGTGACTCCTGAGTTCAAAGCACTTTCCGCAGCACCAAAGACCTGATATTACAGTCATGTGCACAAGAAACAATTAAAAACAATCAAGAAATAGAAAAAAAAAATCTTACCCATATGTAAGAACACAAATGAGTTACTGTCTCATTATAAAGGCAATACATGCTCAGTGTGGAAAACTACAAAAGTAGAGAAAAATAATAAAATTAACCTATTTCCCTTCAGAGATACTCCCATTTCCAGTCTAGTGTGCTTCAAGTTGTTATTTTAGTGAAACTTCATCCTCATCCCTAGGTGGTTCTCTTTCTCATTTTTTACAGTGGCTATCCCAAATCTTATTTTCCTGATACAGGCCCCTCTTGTCCTCCACACTTTCAGCATGAAGTCAAATTCTCAAACTTGAGAAAGTAGAATTCATCTGGCTTGTGTGGTCTTGCCTGCTTTCCTTCATTCTTAACAACTTCACCCAGCCTATCTTCTTCTAATGAGAGAGTAAAGAAAATAAGTCCCTATTCCTCTTAATGGCTAATCCTTTATTCCCTTTTTACATCTGGGGCTGTATCCATAAATTAACTCCTCCAACTCTCACATGATCAATTTTGTCCTCCTTCATTCTCCTTCTTTCCCTCAATCTACAAGTGTTAAATCATCTTTATCCTCAAAACATGTTCCTTCAACCTTGTCTCTCTCTCAAATTCTTCCCCCTCACCTCCTTAACCAACAGATTGCTTGAAAGAGCTCTGCCCACACTATGCCAGTTCTTTATCTTTCATTTATACCTCCATTAACCACATTTTGCTTGTAGGCTTCCCCATCCATTAAAGCTGCCCTCAGAGCCATTTGTGTACTCTGGATTGCCGAGCCCTGTAGCTTCACTCTGCCCTATCTAGTTTGTAAAGTGACACTACTGACTATTCAGTTTTTAAAACTCTTTCCTCCCTTGTGTGTTATATTACAATCATTCTGCTTTTCCTCTTACACCTCTCTTTGCCTCTTCTCAGAATCTTTTTGATAGTTCCATTCTTTCATCTCTAAAGAGAGATAGCTCTCTTCTTTAATCTCTAAACTCTCTGCCTATTTAATTTCTCCCATTCAAGTAACTTCAAATATCCCTTTACTCTATAATAAGACTCCCCAAATCCATCTAAGTAGCTTGGACTTCTTAATGACTACCATTCACCTACAGAATTAAATCTCAATTGCTGGTGTCTTCATGACTTAGTCTAATTTTCTACTACTACCTCACTGTATCTCACCATTCTCTTGTTTAAAACTTTCAGTGGTTCTCCACTATCCTCAGAATAAATTCAACCCAATATCCTTACTTTTAGGAAATATACCCTGAAGTATTTAGAGGTAATGAAAAAAATGGATAAAGTAAATCTACACCCCAACAAAGATAGCTTAGGCTATTATTCATAATCTAGTATCTGCTTGCCTCATCTCTTACCAAATCTCTCCCAATAAAGCACATGAAATTAACAACCAAAACCAAACATAAATAAAAGAGCATTTTGAATTCTATCTCTAGCCATGCTAAAAGTGCCAGTGATTCCCTGAATAGACTATTCTCTACCTTCCATATATTTGCCTCTGTTTTTTCCTGCACAGAATCACCATCCTTTCTCACTCCAGGTCCTCACCTTTAAGATCACTCTTTTTTGAAAACTTTAAAAATTACATTTAGTGCCTGTCCTCTGTAATCTTGATAATACCTTATTCTTTCCTTATTTTGGCACTTGTCACATGGCTGCCTTAAGTACCTACATCTGCCACTCATTTAGCAGCTCTTACAGAGGAAGAGTTATTAGCTAGAGTATCAACAGTTTTTAGACCAGTGCCTTGAAAATGGCATATACACATATTCTTTATCTTATCACATTAATATTATTCACAGAAAGTCACTATCTATTAGACTGCAAATTCCTCAAGGACTAGACTGGGGCTCACTCCTAGCCACACTCCTAATACCAGTCCTAAAACCACAAAGCTGGCAACAATACATAAGTATATATGGATCTTTGTCTTCTCAGAATCTAGCAGCCTACCATGGAAATGGTAAAAAATAAATACACAAATGCAGGCATACACACATATTCTTTGAATAAATGAAACCAATCAACTAATCCATCTTAGGTAATTACATGGCAATCTACCTAAGTAAGTTGAATCTTTTTTTTTCCTCCAATAATCACAAGGCGTTTTACAACAAAATCTAAAACTACAAACACTAATTTAAGCTAATTGTAAGAACTGAATATCTAGATATGCAATGTATCTCCAGGTTAGTAAATATAAAGATTTTCTGTGACCTTGCAAGACTTAAAAATTATACTGCACTGATATTTAACTGTGAATTTCTATTACTGCAATAGATATATTTTCAGGCCGAATGCACAAATATAAAACATATGTTTAAATCATTTGAAATGTACACTTAAACATTATTCTACACTTCTGGATTTTCGGAACACATCAATAAAAACAGAATGCAATTAGGTGAGACATTAGTTTACCAGGAATTGAATTCTATAAGTCATCTGCATGTTTTGTTTTTTTTTAAACTTAAACGTACTTTGTCAGAGAAACAATGTTAGAAATGTTGACTAGGTTTCCATTGGATCCTACAAAAGCCTATTTGGTGTATAAAGGGTTACAGTACTAAATATTTACTGTGAAAAGAAGCAAAGAAAAATGACACTGCAACACAAGTAATTAAGCAAAGCAAATAACAAAATTGAATATTGTTTGATCCATCCCTAAATACAAATATCTCTCAGAAAGAATATAGGTTTAAAGGACTGACCAGGTGCTCTATGGAGACACTGTGGAGATTCGAAAGTGGATTTGTGAGAACTGAGGGGTTTTGTGAGGTTAACAGCATGCTTTCCTTTATATCTCATTTATTTCCATGCATTATGAGCCAAAATATACTAGGCTGGACTTTTGGGTGACAAATATAATGATAAAAAGGAAGAAAACAGGCTATTTAAAAAAAAGTTTCCTGAAGTACCTGGGCAAAGGTTTAAAGGACAAAGTGGAAAAACACTCAAGAGAGTGTATACTGTGCTAGAAAGATTACCTAAGTTTGAATTAACTGAGCAACAGCATTCACAGAAAATTTTAAGTCTATAAAATGTGGTATAAGCATAACCACTTTAGGGTAAGAATGGTGATGGACTGGATCAACTTTCTCTCTTTAGTAAAGTGATGGAGTCAATCCAGCACAGCTTAGGTGCTATTTAGAAGGCTGGTATAAAGAACAGGAGAGTGGGACAGGTGAGGAGGGGGAAGAAAAAGAAAAACAATGGATTCTCATGAGCTTTAAAATTTGGTTGCTTAAAACCAGAAATGCCTAGATTTTAAAACACAGACCTCAGCCCATACTTTCATACACTGTTTCATAGAGCCATTAACTTCTGGATGCCACAGAAAATCCTAAAAAAGAAACGTAAGAGAAAAAAAGTCAAAGAAAATGTGATATCCACCATTCAAAATAACATTAACGTATCTCGTACAGAATACTTCCGAGGAAACCACCACCTTGTGTGTGTTCATCTCCCTTCTCACAAGAGTTTTCCTTGTATCCACTTTTGCTCTCTTCTCAACTACTCCTACATTGTAGCAAGAGAAATCTTTTAAAAACTTAAATCTCATCTTGCCACATCCCTGCCTAAATATTCAAGGCCTTTCCATTGCCCAAGAATAAATTCCAAAGTCCTTGAGGTTGTAAGGAGGCGCAGGTGCTGGCATCTGCCTAGGTATTCTGCCTCTTCTGTTGCCGTCTTCCCCCCTTGCTCTAAGAACCTGTTTGGTCCTTGTTCAGCTCCTGAAAGGCTCTGCTACTTTGTCTCTAGGACTTTGCACACACTGTTCCTCCTACCTATAATGCTGTGAACTCTTCCAGTGAGCTGACGAGCTCCGACTCATCCTTGAGGCCTCAGTTACAAGAGCAATTCTTCATGTAGGAAAACTGCTTTTAATTCCTTGCTCTGTACATTCCGAATGTCCCACTCATTTCTTTTTGCTATCCTTACCCCAAGTTAAACTACATATAGAGAACTATAGTGACTTGTAAGCTCCATTAAGTCTAGGATCTTTTGGTCTTGATCCCTACGGTATTCTCAGCATTTAGACGTTACTGGGACTGGCAATTCAGAAAACTCACATACAGTCTTTTATGGACATTAATCCTGAACACATACTGGTTTCAAATTAATTTACAAGATTACTTTTTCTTTCGTAATAATCTGAGAGACCAAATTTTCTGTTTTATTACACAAAAGAGTATACACAAATATTTATTCAATTATTTTAATATCCTTATCTACTGTCAATATACTGAAATATATTTTGTATGTACAAAGCATTAACTGATCTGCAAATAAATTAACCACTGAACACAGTTTCAACATTGTAGCATTTAGCTTCCTTTTAAATGAACTTACCACTTTGACTGATGAAATCTTGTCTTCAAAAGGAATGTTTTCATGCTGGCATAATAAAAGGAGACAACAGAGAAACATTAATGTGTAGGTTAATGTTTCTTTAGCTGCTTTTATTTATTTGTATGATCTATTCATTATCTATATCTCAATTAACTATATTCAACCTGAAGAGAAAAAGTCTTGCATAGAAAACCAAATAGGTGACACTAGTGTTTATATGTGATTTCCAATATCTAAGAAAACAGTTCAAAGATAAAACCTCAACTACCAACTAGCAGATATGGGAACACGTCTATGTATTCCCAAGCTTGTCACAATTCTGATTTAATCCTAGTATTATTATCTATGGCAAAGATGGGTTACTCCCTTACATTTCCCAAGTCCCTTCCAGTTAGGACCACATGACACATTCTGCCCAGTGTAATGTAGATACACGTGACATGGGTCACATCCAGCCTGAACTTCCCAGGGAAATTTTCTACTCTTTAGCTTAACTTGATGCAGAGACTAAAGAGGTTGAGTGTTCCAAATGATACAACTAGAAGATGGTAAAAAATTCCAACAGCAGGAATCCCCAAATGGCTGCGTGGAGCAGACCCTCTTGCCAACACACTTAAGACGTGCAGCACTCAGTGAGGAAGAACCTCTGTCTTCATGCTGTGGAGCTGCTTGTTGCTATAGCAACACCTGGTCCATTCTCACCTTTATGCTAACTGCTAACAGAGGTCCTGTCTGCACAGGATCGGACATTCATGACTCTAGGTGATTATGAGTTTGACTTTGAAGACAGTAGATTAATAGTTAAGTTGTAGAAAAAATTAAAATTTGGAGACAACTTCTTGTAACCAAGCGTTGCATATAAAAGAAAAGAAATCCTATCAGAGTTAAAAGTCTGGGGGTGGGGGAATAGAAGTGGCTAATAAGAAGCTAGTTCTCTTCCTAAAATCAAGGTTGAAATATTTTTATTAATTTAACCATACAGTATTTTTTATATCTCTGTGAAATAAAGTCTGCTTTTATGAACAGGCTACCTTTTAAAATTGTTAGTCCTACTCAAGCATAATTTCCCAAGAGGACTCTTGGGACCAATATTTCAATGAAACTTTAAAGTATGTTACACAAAAAGAGTTTACTTGCTCAAATAAGTCTGGGAAATCCTGAGTGAGACAAAATCACACAGGCGCTTTCCTCCTCCTATCCAATCCCAACCTTGTTAAAATTCTTCCTCGGAGAAAAATAATGTGTCACAAACTATCTTTTTCCTTCTTTTGTAAAGCTCAATTAATTCAACTCAATCTCTCTCTTATTATTTTAATGTAACATGTGATAGGTACATAAGAATATTTCACATACACTTAAGTCATAAAGCACAGTAAAAATAAACAAGCACTCATAAATCCAAGGCACAAATCAGCATTGCCCACACACTGAATGACCCACGTAGACCCCACTTAATTTCCTGCTTTATCCCAATGAAACTGTGCCTTGAATTTTGTTGATATTTTGCTTTCTCTTTTATTATGTAGTTTTGTTTCATTTATATGCATCCTTAAAAGATATATCACTTAAATGTTGTGGGCTTTCTTTCCAACTTTTAATAATTAAAATTGTCAAGCTTACAATAAAGTTGACAAAATTATAATGAACACCCAAACACCCTCTACCAATTAACATTTTCTACAGTACCTTTATGCCAGGAAAATTTTATCATACAAAATCTTGAGTTCATTTCTTTCCAATCCTTACCTTTAAATTATCTTTCTTTGGTTAAGGATCTCTAATATAACGTTGAATAGAAAGAGCAATAATGTATATCCTTGTCTTCTTCCCGAATTTAAGATAAATGTGTCAAGCATTTCATCATTAAGAGCATTTACTCTAGACTCCTGGAATTTGTACCAGGTCAAGTTAGAATATAAAGGAACTACCTAATAAAGAATGAAACCAGTTGTCTGATATTGTTGGTAATTGCTTAATTGTCCAATATGTGGTCAAAAAAGGTTCCAGGTATGCTTTGAAAAAACATATTCTCTGATGTTTTAGTTTATTTCTTAAGTATTGAGCTTTAAATTCATAAAATCAGCATGTTTAATAGTCTATAATATATCTACTAGTTTTATTTGCTCATCCTATCATTAACTGTGTGAGCAGTGAGCAATTCTCTCAACATGATGGAGAAGGATTTGTCAACCTCTCACTGTAATGTTGATTTTTGCTTTATACATTTTAAGGTTAATTTATTAAATGCCTACAAGTTTAAAACATTCTTGGTGATTTTTGAACCTTAAAAAGTATCTGTATCCCTGATAATGTTTTTGGCCTTAAAATCTATTGTCTTAATTAATATGACTCATCTTTCTGTAAGTATTTGTCTGATAAATCTTTTCTCATTTTTAATTAGAACCTTCCCATGTCCTTTTGTTTTAGGTATGACTTTTTAAGCAGCAGGAAGTCTGCTTAAAAAACAGTCTCAAAATTTGTTCAGTAGAAAAAGTTTAGACTACTTGATCTACTAATTCTATCCTTAGTCCTTCCCCTTGAAGTTTTGCTCTGCATCTTTAAGTTATGTTTTAAAGATAATACTTTAAAGAGTATAAAGATGTTATTAGAAGACTTTAATTGTCATTACACCTCTCTGACTTATATTTACTGTTATTGGGCACTTATTTAGCACTGTCTTTTTGTAAAGTGCAAAAAGATATTATTTTATGCAGACACTGTTTAGATTTATATACATGTTTACTATTTTCCTTAACCATTGCTTCTTATATTTCAAATCTTTTTTTCAGAATTATTTTCCTCCCTCCTATAGTTTATCCTTTCATGTAAGTTTATGAGGCAGCAAACCCTCATTGTTTCTGTTTACCTGAAAATGTCCTTTATCTTAAGAATAGAGAAATTTGTATGCTAGGTATACAATTGTAGGTTGAAATTTACTTACTTTCAGAACTTTAAAGCTCCTATTCTGCTGTCTTCTGGCTTCCAATATTACTATTGAAAATATGCTGGCCCAAAGCTTAGTTTTCTACATATAGTGTACTGTAGATATTGGCATCTGTCTTCAGGGCAACCCAAACTTCTACACTGTGCCTACTGTTACTGCTCCTATCTCTGGTTTTGCTTCATAGTTTCTTCCTGTTTGGGGGAGTGTCTCTCATTTTCTCAAAGTCTAGAAATACATCAATAACAATTTTTTTTTAAATCTAGGATGTAGTTGGTTTAGGATAGAAGGGGCCCCCAGAGTATCTGGCTGGCCCTCTGGCTGAAAGCAACATGAACAGGTTTCTTTACTGTAAGACTTTTCAAGTTTTTAATATCCTAGCCTAAATTAAAACCATCTAAGATGGGGATATGATATCCAGCTCTGCCCGAACTTATTTGATCAGAGCTTTATACAGAACTAGGCTTCCACAAAATATAATTTGAAAAAACTCCTGCTCTAAAGCTTCTTTTAAAGAAAAATTGCCTCCATACAGAAAAGAAACAAATATAAAGAGTTATCTTTAATATTCCTAGTCTACACAAACCCACAACAAGGCTTAAAAAAAATCTTTTTTACTATATGTCAGACTGATAGTAGGCACAAGAAATGTATTTTTAAAATAATGATAATACACAACTTCTGTCTTCAAGATGTTCAGAGACAAGAGAACAAAGTAAAATATAATTTGGCAAATGCTCTACTAGCAGTTTGAACCAAATAGTTTCTCAGTAACTATGTGTTTAAGACTATGATAAACTATCTTTGTTTCTTTTTTAAATGCATGTAAATTTAAATGTTATTTTGTCTGGTAATTGTGCATTAACTGGGCACTTCTAGAAAATAAAAATTGAAAACATAGGTGTTATAATAACTAGAGCTCAGAAACAATGTGCCATATAGTACCTACTTTGGCTGTAGACTAAACTATTATACCTTTTTTCAACTAACTGTTGCCAAATCCATTATTCCAATTTTCAGAAAGATACACTATTCTAAGCCTAGAAATACTAAAGCAGGTTCTTTGAAATCAGAAATCTCTCTACTTTTTAAAAGTCATTAAAGTTTTTTACTTTGAACTGTGACAATCTCATGAAATTAAATAGTTCCAATTCTTCTGTATAATTTTGTGTGTATAAATACAAATGGAAAATACATTTACACATTCTAAATAAAATGAGAAGGTGACTTTGTTACTTTTCCATTATTTAGCTTTAAAATCTACACTAGCCTTTCCTGGTGAACAAAATCTCGAATAGCCTATGGATTTCCTCACAAGGAATAGGTTTCTAAGGATTCAGTATCCACTATCATCATCACTACAGGACTAGCTACTTAGCCGTGAAGTCCCTAGCTTTTTAGCTATTGCACAGGGTAGGTTAATGTGTACAAGCAGATTCAGCACACAAATTCATAAGCTATTCCTCCACAGCTCTGAACTTTCTTGTATTTCACTTTTCTCTCTCTGCAATTCCCCACACCCAATCGTGGGCAGTTGAAGACAAGGAATAGAACCTTGGATCACTTAAGAACATATAAACTGAAGAATATGATGACATAATTCACAGAACATTTAATTAAGTAATTAACAAACATATAGAGAAGTGTTCATCCTTGTTAGGTTCCAAAAATGTATTTTTAAAACATAAAACATACATTTTATAAAATATTAAGAGAGCAAAAATTTGTTGCATTGTTAATTATATAGCATGATTAATTAACCAGTGCAAGCAAAACTGAAAAAAATTAGACCCCACATCACTAGTTATAGTAAATTGAAACTCATACAATCAACATTTTTTGTGTTTATATTCTTTACCCTAATATTTACATTGTAGAGATTCTCTACTAAAGACCTAATTTAAAAAGCAGTTTTCATACAAAGATGTAACTGAAAGTATCCTTTGTTAAATTTCAAAATGAAAAAATTTAGAAAACTACAGAAAGTTAAGAAAAGGGAGGATTATATAAGATTACATTACATCCACTCAAGATGTTGCCATTATGAAGACATAATGATTATATAATAATGTGATAGATGGTGAAAAAAATGGGGAAAAAGCAAGACATGAAACTGTACATGCTAAAAGATCACAAGATTATGTTTTAAAAAAGAGAATGAAAAGTAATATGGTAAAATATTAAAAGAAAAATATGGGATATTATCTGTTTTCTTTCTAAGGAATTTTAAAAAGTTTTTTCATGGAAAGACCTTATTATTTCTGAAAACTAAAAGTTTAAGTTAGTAAAAGGCTTACTAATACCTTACCCACCACTTCTTTTTCATATGTTCCCCAATATGGTAAAGCATCCCTTTTCTCCCTCCACCTTTCCCAAAACCAAAGTAAAACTTTCATAATTCTTTTTGTTAATGTGAAGGTGCACATTCCTCCTCTAACTATTGAGTTGGTTAACTTCTAAAATGATACCCTAAATGATGAGATTAGAAAGTTTACCTTATTTCCTTCTTCTTTGAATTGGGGATTAATTATTTTTACAAAAGAATAAAACAACTGACGAATTCTGGAATCTCCAATAAACGCAATATGTTTATCTACAAGGCAGTTCTTTGCTTCACTGAAACCAACAAAGAAACATTAATTAAAATTAATAAATTCAGCACATTGCCATTTCAAAGCCCACAGTTTGTAAAGAAAGAAGTATAGGACTGTTATATATCGTTAGTTTGCTTTAGAAATAGGTGGCCAGGTTTGTTTAAATTTCTAGTCTCAGTATGATCAACTGGCTTTCATCAGTAATAGCCACCATTTACTGTTTAAGATATACTCTAACTACATTCAGTACTTCATAGCCTTTATTTCAGAATAATTTCATGACATAGTCATCTAAGTACCAAAGCCAAGAGTCATTCACTCAGGGGTTACTTACTGTCTTGGGCCTGGATGTCTCTCACCTAGAAGCTTAGCCAGAGCTCTTTCCCTAATGCTTTAGCATAGGAATCTTCATTTGGACTTACCTCCATCCCAACCCTCTGTCAGCAATTCTCTACCATCCTATAGAGAAGTACCCTATAGTACTTCCTTTGCTTTGCCAACCCCTCTCCACTAGATATTAAGACCCCTCCTAGGAGAAAAAACAAACGACAAAATGAAGAAAACTTACCTGATTTTGTATTTATGCATCATACAACTGTGAGGTTGCCAAACTTTCTCTCCAAGAAATCTGCCACTTGAGAGAAGGTATTCACATGAATCACTGCCTACAATAATTAAACATGACAATGCTGTAAATGATTATTAAATTTTTTATATGTTGGTTATCTGACCCCACATAAGATCTTTGAGATGAGAGAGGACAAGGTTTTCTATACTTCACTATACCTTCTAGATGCATATTCCTCATCCATGAGATGCATAGTAAATAGCAATACATTAATACTCGAGGATAAAGAGCCACTAATGACAGATACTTTACTGTAAAAAAGACTTCTAACTCTTAATTGCTACATCCACTACTTTGACAGTTCCTTCTGCTTTAGGTTTTCTTTCTAAGGATATCACCTCAACCTCAAACTAGGTTTTTTGTTTGTTTATAACTCCTACTTCTAGTTGGGAAAAAAAAGTTTGAGGAATAAAAGAGAAGACTTTGGATATGACTACCTACTCAACTATTATAATACATAGTGCAGTAATATATCTGGAGACTTAGTAAATAATTGAAATATTTTATAAACCTACTCCCTGATTTTCAGAACTTCCTGTGAGGAAGCATGCTATCCCTGTTCTGTAAATGTGCAAAAGAAAAAGATTTATTCAAGAACCCCTTAAAAAGCCAAATAAAATTTTATCCTTTTATAATCTTACAAAGATAAGACTTAAAACTATGTTAGCCAAAAGGTAGCCAAAATATAAAAACAATCAGTAACAAATGCAGATTTCAGAGTTACTAATACTCAGTCTTTCTACTTCTCTTTATATCTTTCTGTAAGATGACCAACGAACTCCTCCCAGTTTGATTGGGGCTGTCAGTTTTACGTAGAAAAGTTCCGCATCTGGTGAACCCCTCAGTCCTGTGTAAACTGGGACAGATGGTCACCCTACTTCCATTTTACTGTACATTATTCTTAAATGAGTGATGGAGTTAGAAGGGTGTGGGAGGCATTAAAAAAGTTCACGTATGCCAAATAGACGAGGGAAAAATGAGATGTTTAGGTTAACTGTGGGATTATAATAAAAATACACGTATTACTTAATTTGATTCTCTAGATATTTGTCAACAGTCAACAGCAAGCTCTATTTGTTTTATAAATAGTTAAGGTCAGGATAGGGAGTCTAGTAAGAGGAATACTACAGAACAAAAATGGTACTGAAATATTCAGGGTGGGCATAGGGGAGAACCAAAGATATTTAAAGTAGAAGAACTCATGTCTTTTCTTCATTTAGTGATCCATTTATCTGGCCAACATAAAAGGTGATAAAAATGCAAGATACTTATATGCATAAATAATGAAAGTGTTATAATTTCAGTATCATAAATTCTAAAATAGAACAGGAAGGATAGGAGAAAATACTCAATTATTATATTGGTGGAAAATCGGATAAGGAAAGCAGAATATTAATTATGAAATTTCTGCAATTATATATATAGCCTGCACAGGTTTTCATATTTCAAAGTTTTTTTAAATAACATCTCTCTAAGGAAACTATAAATAATCAGTTCTTAATTTCTTTTAATTATTAAAAACTAATTCTAATTCTAAAAACAAAATTAAGCTACGTAAGTAATCCAGCAGGAGTAGAGAAAGGACTATAGGAACACACAATTAAGTTATTTTTCTAAAAACAGCACTCCACTGAATAATTTTATAGTGGCTATATAGTAAATCCTACTAAAAACATAGTAAATGTTTAAGTAGAAAAATCCATGTTTATAGCATTTCTACCTCTTCAAATATATCTACTAAGCCAAGTAAAAAGGTAGTAACACATCTATTTCCTAAAAAGGTCATTTATAAGAAGTTGCAAATAAATAGGTATTAGTTCTGTGGAGTTTATTCTTCCTTTTATTTCTTCTTTTTCCCTTTCATTTTGTTTATCATTGTTGTTTGAGTTTTGTTTTTTAATAGAAGTCTAAACAGAGACACATACTGATCAGTCTTCTGTGTGTGGGAATATGTTATTTGTTAGCCATCTCTATGAGTTATCAGTATGATTTCGGGGAGATGGAGGTACCCATACCAATATCTTAAAATAACCAGACTTTTCTCCACCAGAAAATGGGTTTTAAAATGCAAAGGTCTTCTTTTGCTTCTCAGTATTACATACTGCTTTTCAGTAGTTCCGCTAGTGGAAAACAACTGCTGTCATCTGTTGAACCCATATTAAAAAACCCCAGAGCAAAACAGGTAAGACTTGTCACTAACCAAAAGGCACTATAAGCACAGTATTTTAGAGACTACTAGTCTTTCCAGGAAATAAATTTTTAATATGCTAATGAATGCTAGTTGATGATCCTTTTTATAATTCTTGTACCTGAAATTAATAGTCTGTATCATATCATTTAAAGTCCAGTCAGAAGACAGACACTGCATCAGCTATTTCAATAGAGAAAATCTAATAAAAAAATGTTGGAAAAGTAAAAGAACTGCTAACTAGACAACTGAAAAGGCAAGAAGAAACTTTTTTTATATGTGTCAACAAAATACTATAATAAAAGCAATAATAATAATAAAATCCATTATAATCTGATTTAAAAAAATTGACCTGATCTAGAAAACTCCACAAAATTCCACACTCAAGACAAGTTCTCTTTTCCTGGGAAGGAAATGTTTTCTGAAATCAAATCACTAAGCGTAAATCTAGATGTTAAAATAAGTTAATGTACCACATTTTTATTATGTACACTAACTATGGGTAAATATCTGCTGGCACATATTTACCTCTCAAATTTACATGGAAAACCCCAAACAAAAGAAAATAAAAAATCCTCAGTCACTATTTTCAATTGTCTCATATTATTTTGATAGCCACTTTAACACAATCAGTGTTGAGATGAAAGTAGCCAAGTCCTCAGACAAATTAAGCTAGAAACACAATAAAAAGATAAAAAAGCACCTAAAGGTATAGAATTATTTACTTCAGCTTTTTCCAATACTAAAATTTAGGTGAATGGCTGTCTTCCTCTTCATTCTGTTACCTTAAGCATAAGCATTCTGGTTTGTCAATCTGAAGTCTCAAGTTTTTAATGCATGACTTTTCTATAACTGAAAGATACTAAAAGCAAAGCAAACAAAATAAGTAAAAAAGAGAAACAAGTAAAAAAAAGCTGAAAAACAAAATGTAGCAACTAAAGAAAACATAATGCGCTAAATAAATAGTGGCTTGCATTTTCCTTGGAATGGAATACCCCTGGCACACTGCACCTTTAGACTGAATCATCCTACCAAAGCTGTGTGTTTCTTACTACCAACCATGAAAATACCAGATCATAAAGTTTATAATATGATCTGTAGAATATTTTGTTTGCCTAAAATGCATAAGTTATGCTCTGGTCTGTGCTAAAAACGTCACCATTTACATTTTTCTTTGCACAAGCTACGAGTGCCTCATTACAAGTAGTATCATGTAGATGAAGATCTTTCTTGCAAAGAAAAGGCTAAGACACCTAGAGCTGCTTCTTTCTTGCTTAATTTTTGAAGCTTTGAACTCACTTTTCATCAAAACATGCAGTAATATTTAACATTTGCCCTTACCATGCCTGGCAAAAGGGGATTAGATTTCAACAAAATTAAGAAATTTAACCAAATTTTTCAATTACAAAAAATTTAAAATTTTCCAGCTTGAAACAACTCTTAAGTCTATAGATAATGGCCTTTTGTTACAGAAATGATGTTTTTAATCTGTAATCACAGTTTCAATGGACATTTTGTGATTCCATAATGTTAGATATTAATAAAATTTAGAAAAGAGTTAAAAGAATAATTTTTTAAAATGCCATTGTATTATGTGAAAATAATATTAATAATAAAAAAACCCATCCTACTTTCTCAAGTTGAGATCAGAACATGCTATCAGAAGATGAAATTCAATTAGAATCAAAAGAACCAAATGCAAGGAGGAAAGCAGAAAGAAATAAATCTATTTATCCAATAAATGTTCATGTAGTTCTTACTATGTGTTGGACTTTGATGATTTAAAGATGAATAAAATACCCTTGGCAGCTTACAGTTTGTGTATAAATTATTGGATGGATATAAATTATTACAATACAACATGATAAACATGTACTAATTGCTGTAGAAACAATGAATTATAAATTCCTAGTTCTGTGGTGGTGACATCTGAATAAGGCCCTGAAGGGAAAATCTGTACTTTCTTTCAAGGAGAGATGGTCACTGCAGGCAGAGAAAATCAGGTATCTGTGAGATATGTAAAAGGGCAAAGTAAATTTAGATTGTGAGCCTCCAGTTTAGGAAGAAGGAAGAAACATAGACATAAATAATAAAAAGTAAGCTGTTCATATTTTGAAGTTTTACACATGCAACTTTTTAGAAAAATTGCCACTTTACTGGTAAAATAGGAAAACTCTTGGTTGGTACTGTGAAATTGATGTTTCCTAATTGTTTTAACCCATGTCCCTGTGGAAAACATGTTCTACTCCCTTTTCTGTACATCACCATTGTCAAAAAGGCTCTGAGAAAAGCAGACTATAACATAATGGCATGAGGCAGATAAACTGGGTTCTAAATCCTAGCACAGTCACTTATTGTGTACTTTAGGCAACTTAATCTCTCATGCCTCATTTTTAGAATGGAAATACTACTCTCATTTGCTGAATCTAACACCATTGATTTTAAGACACATCATTACTTTATACAGTTTAGGAACAATGTTATCAATTAAACCTTGACATGCAATCAGAATTTTAAAAACTCATTCTGATTACAGAGATGTTAAAAATGGGCAGTGGGGAGGGGTGAAATATGATAATTATATCTACTTCATAGAATAGTTGTAAAGGCAAACTGAATTAAAATGTGTAAAACCCTTTGTAGAACAGCACTTGGCACACAAGTGCTCAATGTTAGCATGTAGTGTTTGCCATGACTTACTTTCTGTAGCATGTAATTCTTTTACTTTCTGTAGTTTGTATAGCAAAAGACACACATTCAGTGTATTCAAACTGTATATTGACCCTACCCTGCCTGAGGCATACTCATACCCACACACTGGAGATTTAATATACAGCCTAAACCTCTATATCTAATATAAGGCCCTTTCTTATTCTAAAGATTTATGATATTGTGATTCAAATGTATGGTTATCTTTGTGGGAAGGGCTTTGCATCTGACTCAGTTTGACAGTGCCAAAGCATGAGGATGGCTAAAAAGATCATTTTTGTTTCCCAAAAGTTTCTGGCTCAAGACATTCAATCTAGGCAAGTACACACACCAGGTGTACTGCTTCACACTCAAGGCCCTGAAGCGCCTACCCTGATGACTAGCTTCTGGAGGAGGCTTTATGAACAACCCCAGACCACTATACTGACTCATAAGGTTCCATCTGACATCCTATTTTCCCTGCTGATGACAGATCTTGAAAGGATGAAATATATAATCTAAATTTAATAATTAGTGTCCAAACTTATCAAAAGATAAAAGCACAATTTAGAAAAGGAAGAGGGGGGACTAGAAGCTTACCTTTAGGACTGTTATAAAATTTATCTTCACTACCATCATGTATACAAAATTGAATTTATTACTTTTATCTTAAACCAATTGGCATAAAATGATTGTTAGAAAAGTTTCTTCAAAATTTCCACAGATTAACCGTCAACATTGCCAGTTTCAATTTGTATATGAAAATATTGGACTTCTATTATAGCACCTGCATATGAACCAAAGCCATGCCAGGTCATGTGGCTGTGATCTGTAGAAGGCTGAGGGAGAAAGGCCAAAACGATATAAAAAATTTATCTTTTTAAATTGATTTAATGTATTTATATAAAGAGCTATTCATCCAGTTTGGTACTGGAATGTAAATTTTTTGATCCTGAATCGTTAGGGAAAACAAACCAGAAAAATTAATCAAAATGTCCTACACTTTGCGAAGATTCCCTGGGTTGAGAAGAAAGCTCAGATTCCACTACCAAAGTGGGTGTGAAGTTAAATGGGAACAGCGTTAAATGTACACCTGTCCATAACACTTTACATCTTGACCACTTAATCTCAGTCACCAAGAGCTGTTCAGATAAAGGCTTTGACAATACGAGGAGCCAAAAGTATAAGATTTGATCATTAGTAATTTCCCTCAGTCTATCAGCCTCTCTCCTAGTGGCATTTTTACAGAAAAATCTTTAAAAATCAATCAACAAGGAGAAGTAAATATCCCCTGATTACTGAACGGCAATTCGTCCTGGAATAAGGTGGTCTCATTTCCCCTTTACACTAATTTCAAAACCCACAGCGAAGGCCTGCTTTCAAACTGATTTCAACTTGCTTTCATTGCACACCTCTGACTCCTGTCTACCCATAACTTTTTTCAAGTATCTGCCCCGGTCCCTTCACTTTGTAAAACGTGCGCAACCAGACCCCTTTAAACTTCTGAACTACAAAGACTGGGTGACACCTCCTCCAGTTGGCCAAGGGCATCTTTTGCCAGCTGTCGCCCCGGCAGCAGAGGAAAATGGGGCGGCCCTTGCCGCTGTCCAACAACTGCTCTGCACTGCGGTTACCGCGCAGAGGCCGATTAAACAAAGGCTAGGGCGCCGGACCCCCAGGGCGCAGAGTCGGCAGCCCCCCTGCTGGCGGACGTGCCCCGGGCAGGGCGGCCTCTGCCTTCTCGCGCCCCGGGCTAGACCCCCAGGGCCGCCGGGCCCACCTCCTGCACGCGAACCCCCGCCCGGCTCGCGCAGGAGGCGGGGCCCGGCGGCCCCTAGGGCCAGGCCCAGGTTGGCAACCCCGACCCAGGCGCGGGCGGCTGGGGACCCAGGACCGCGGGCCCTTGTCCCGTGGCGATCCGCACACGGGGCCGCTCAGGCGGCGCGCGGGGCACACCTGGGGCACCGCCTCCGCGCGGGCCGGGCGCTGCGGCGGGCGGGCGGCCGCGGGAGCGTGGGCGTGTGTTGGGCGGTAGGGGCGGCCTCCAGCCGCCGCGTCGCCGCCTCCCCCGGCCGGCCGGGGCGGGGGAGGGCCCGCTCACCTCGGTAGCGGCGGGAGGTGAGGTGGCACGCTGCGAGCAGCAGCACGGCCACCATCGCCAGCACCTTGGCGCTCCTCACGCTGAAGTAGTGGTTGATCTCTCGCTTGCCCAGGTTGTAGGCCAGAGCCGCCATCTTGGTTCCTCCATGACAACAGTGCGCGGCGGAGCGGGGAAGGGGCGCCGCACAGGGGCAGCACTGGGGCTGCCGCCGCCGCAGCCAGGCAAGGAGCCGCCACCAGCCCCCGCGGCCGCCGCCCGCGCCTCCACCCTTGGAGCCTGACCCGCTCGCCGCGGCGCCCGCAGCCCCGACCTGGCCCTCTCCGGCCGCAGGCGCCTCGGCGGCCTTCCGCCAGCCCCGCCGCCCCTTCTCCGCAGCGCCGGCTCCCCAGGAGCCCTGGGCGCCTGTCTCCTCCCCTTCCTCCTCCTCTTTAGCCTCCTGCCTTAATAGCGGCTGCGCCTGTGAGCGGGGTCCGGATGCCCGGGGCTCCGGGGTCACGCGCCCCAGACAGCTCTCCGGGGGCACCGGGGCACCAGCGCCGGCGGGCGACATTGACCGCGGCGACCGCGGCGGAGACATGGGGCTGTGGGGAGAGGGGCCAGGGGCTCCCGCCCAGCCCGTGGGGAAGCTACTGACCCCTACCTGAATCAGGTTGGGGCAACAGAGCTACAGTTCCGGAAGAAAGTGTGCTTCGTTCCACTCCTCCTTCCCCAACACACCCTTTTTTGAGTTTTCTCCGTGAACCTGCTCAGCAGGATGCGAAGCCCACCCCAGGTCCCCAGGGCTTGTCATCAGGTTATCTGGTCTGTTTGTCCCCAGATAAGTGCTAAGTGTTAAGACCGCTGGTAGCTCAAGCACCCACCCCAGAGTGAGACTGATCCTAACTTTTAACTCACTGCCTTGGCACATTTTTCTTGAAACTTTAAAAAAAAAAATCCTTAGTTTGCCCAGTTCCAGTGGGTGAAGGACACGGTACGGTATAGAAGGTACAGAATGAGCTCAGCTTCGTGTAGGTGTTGGTGAGAAAAGAGTTTAACAAGGGCTGGCTAGGTGGATGCGCCAAACGTAAAAACGTGCTCATTGACTATTGTTCCTACTCCTAAAGTTGGTTTATATTATAAAGTTGGTTATAAGCGCTTGTTATCCCTCGCCCTCTTTTTCTTGGTCTCTCATGTGCTGTCTTTCAGATGGGAATGGTTATTTACATGCTTACCTGTCTATTTGCTTCGTTTTAGAGTGAGTCATTGGTTAGTTGGGATGTTTTCAAGTGTTCTTTACAACTCTCGCATTTAGTCATTCCTGAACTTGGTGTGTTTAGGCCCCTCTTAAAACTGTAAAATGTTAGCCATGAAGGGGGCTATAACAATAGTGCCATCTTAATTCTTTTCATCCAAGAACTCTTCTTATTATGTTTTCATCCATGGACTACATATCTTGAAAGATTTTGTCACTTAAATGAAATCACATACATCACTGTCATGGATGTAATGCTAATAAGCAATAAAGTTAAGCAAGTGTACAAATACTAGGCAGTGTTCCCTGGAAATAGTTGCTTAATTTTGTCTGTCACTCTTCTGATCCAAGGCTGATCACGTGCTGGAAGAATTAAATCAGATAATGTAAAAACTAGATCAATAACTCTGCTAACAGTATATGGCCCACCAATCAAATCCTAGAAATTTCTATGATGTCATCAACAGCAAATTAGAATTTCTGATGAGCATGAGATAACCAGTGTTAGCCCACAGGGTTGATTTAATGCTTGCCAAAAGTAAAGAAACTTGACATTTTATTTAATTGCAATTTCCAGAAGGCTTTCTGAAATAATTGTAAATAGCTTGTGGACCTTTCTTCCTTTCCTTCCTTTTAAAGCTAATCTCTTACCTCTGTTATGAATCTCTTCCTGTCCTCCTTTCCTGGGGATGATGATGACTCTATCAGTTATCCTTATGTCAATAATCCTCTCTCTGGGTCTTCTTTAACTCTCCTTCTCTCCTGGCTGTTTCCCTTCCACCAGTAAGTTTCTCTTTCTAGTGAGACACATCCATGGATTCTGTCACTGTGTGTTTACCTCTCCATCTGTCTTTCCTTCTCTGACAAAAGTATCTAGAAAGAGTAGTGCTGATTTTGTGGTGTCCACTTGATCCACTCGCATTCTCCCTTCTACGTGATGCTCTAATATGCTGCCTCCTGTCCATCCCCTTGCTGTTTCAAACATGATTTCTTGCCTGAATTGCTTATTCTTTTAGGTCACCTTCCTCAGGTCTAGCTCCCAAAACCGATCTTACTGCCTCTCCACCATATCTATAACCCGACTGAACTTTCGCAAGCTCAAATCATATGATGTTAAAAACTACCTAGTGACTCCATGTTTATTTGCCTATCCCTAAGTTTTCCAGAATGTTTACTAATACTCAACAGGTTACTTCACCCCCTGATAATCTGATAAAAAGAGAGACCATCTGATAGGAACTCTTTCAACCCATGCATTAGTTGAAATAAAAACAAAAACAGATTACAACATTTTATTCCTCCTCTCCCTTTTTTAAAACCAAATATCTATTTACCATTGTATCACAGGAGGTCATGGGGATAAAGAAGACAGGAAAAGGAGGTGGAAATGGAGCAGCCAACACAACAGGAGGAGCACAGTTTTTGAGGTGAGAAGCTTTTGGCATAAACTGTTCCTGCTCCACTGTGTCCATTCTATACTTTTACAATGATCTGATTTTTTATATTGAGGTATGACTGACATATAATAGTTTCAGGTGTACAATGAAATGATCCCATTTGTATGTATTGCAAATTGATCATCACAATAAACCCAGGTATCATCTGTTGTCATACACGGTTAAAAATTTTTTTTTCTTGTGGTGAAAGAAAGCTATATGCAATATATATTAACTGTAGTTCCCTTCTGACTTGAAAAATTCCTCCTCTCCCTTCCCCAAACTGTCTTTCATCTGTGTCCTGAATTGTATCAGTACAAATTTCATCTGAGAATGTAGTCTCATAAGTTTCTCTTTATTTCTGCCTTCAGTTTATCCCTCTTCACTGTTTGCTCTACTTATAAGGTCAAATGCTTCCTATTCCTATTTAAAGCACCTTCCTTACTTCGTCACACAATCTCTCTCATCTCCTCTAACCATACACTTCTTGAAGGAACAGTCTGGTTACTATTCACGCTTCCCCTTTTTCTTTTTTTAACTACTTACTGGTTCCTGTAACACTTGAAAACTGACCTCTGCTCCTGTTACTTTGCTTAAACCACTCTTTCAAATGTCCCCCACATCCTAAATTACCAAATCCATCGTCTTTATCTTAGCTTTATCCTTCTTGACTCTGCAGCATTGTTAAAAGATTTGCTCTCTTAAAATCTTTTCTATTTCCATGCCATTACATCCTTCTGGCTGTCTTCTTTCCTTTCCCATGAATCTTCAAGAAGGGTCCTCTTGCTTTTGCAAACCCCTTATATGAAAGTACATTTCAGAGTTCTTTCATTTACCTGATTTTCTTCTTGGGAAACCAGGATTACTGGATATATTGCATTTCTGGTCAAGTGGAGCATTTTGTGTCAAGGGACACAGAAGTTATCTAAGTTTCAGTTTGTTGATGTGGCATCCTGGAGCAGGTGTAACTCCATCTTGAGCCTAGGAATTTATTTCAATATTCCTAACTATAATAAAATAAGGTTTAATAATATTTAAAATAAGGCTTCCTTGGTACTCTGACTTGGGCTATATGTAGAGAGTCATGTCAAGCGTACTTGAGAGGAATCCTGAGGGAAGACTGGAAAGTCACACTTGTGGAGAGATGGACAATGGCCCACTTTTTTGTTGGCTTTCAGCATATTGTGCCTATAAGCCTGTCAAATGAATTCACAAATTATATACTTGTACGTAAACTCACAAAATGGAAAATGACTTTAAAAATCCTTATGGAGAATGTGAATTGAAGATGATTCCAATCTTATAAGCACTAGCAAACAAGGAGATGTAGAATGGAATCTTCTACTCCTAATTCAAGCTCTTTAACAGCTACACATTGTGATTAAAAAAAAGTATGTATATGTAATATACATCTCATATATCTGATGTATATGGATTTTATCTCATACATGACATACATGTATATGGACACTTAAATTTGCAAGAAATCGTAACAAATTTTGAAATTATCAAGATTTCAAATTGTTTGAAGTAAGAATTCACATCCACTCATTGTAAACCATGAATCTTGCTGCAAAGTACTTGGTGCTTTGAGATGAGAGTTACTACTGATATGAGGCCATTAAAGTTAGCAAGATATTCAGAAATTAAGCATCCAAACATGAATTAAACCTGTTATTGAGAGAAAAATGTTTGTGAGCACATATGAATGTTTCAAATTACATGTATTATATTAGTTCTTTAGTAAAGCAGGACAAACTTTATCAATAAATATATGTAAGTTAGAGGGGTGCATGCTCCAATTTTTAACTGATATGAGGGCATAGAAAATGAGAATTACTTAGTGCATCACCATAACCTGTTCATTCTACCTCCCTCAAAGCTTTTTCCTTCTCCCTGAGAATGCTCTGGTTTAGGTTCCAACCTTACCATTGTAACAGGTGTCTACTGGCCTCCTGGCTTCTAATTTCTTAGTTTCTCAGTGTCTTTTTTCCCAGTTGCTTGTAGAGTTATTTGTCTAATGCTTGCATTTGATCTTGGTATTTCCTTGCTTAAAAACTTTGGTGGTTCCCTATTGGAACAAAATGAATTCCCAGCCTCTTCACACCTTTAAGGTTGTCTGTGATTTGGCCTAAATCTGCATTTCTTCTCTTTAGCCCTCATTTCATCTAACCATGCTAAACTATAAATCAGGAATGTTACATATCTGCCTCTTCTCTCTTACTATCTCCTTAGCTTGAAATATTTTCCCCACACACATCGTATTCTACTTATTTAAAGCCCTTTTTTTCTTTTTCCCCTTCCAGTTTTATTGAGGTATAATTGACAAATAAATTTGTTTATATTTATAGGGTGCAATGTGATGGTTTGATATTAGTATAGTTTGTGAAATGATTGCCACAATCAGAAGAACTTTCTCCTTTAAAGACCTGCTCCATTTGCCTCTTCAATGAAGTAAGCCTCGTGGTTCCTTATGGTTTCTATATAACTCTTTCCCTCTTCTGATTTCTCAGTAATTTCTTTCTTTCTGTGCTTCAGAATGCATTCAACACATACACCATCCAGTCAGAACAGATATCTTCCTTACTTGTGCATATTCTGTTCATCGGGAAATTACCAGTTCAGTCTTTCAAGATATATCCCACTGTGTCTTATAATCTATTCAGTTACTATGTTTATCTTTCTCTTCTTCATTCCCCTCTGTCAAGATTTTTTATATTGGGGTACAGGGAGTTCGTACTTTTTGTATTATTGTTGGTAAAATTTGTGAAAGACTTAGAAATGGACCAAGATATTATGTCTTCAGTGGAACACTGGGCATTGTCCAGATTACCAGATTCTATGGGGTCTCTGAAGCTTTTATTGTCTTTGAGCTATTTTACATTGCT